TATAATTCTCCCAAGCTGTCTAGTAAAATGGAGTCAATGTGTCTTTCAACTTTTCAAAATACTCAATCTCATCCAATGAAAACCTCCACTACAAGTTCAGCAACTCAAGCGTCAACTGTTTTCAAAAATGAGGTAGCTGAGTTACAATGCGAACTGTCGAAAACACGAAAAAACTGAATGAGATGAGAGAGCAACTGATTAAAATGGAGGAATTACTGCATATGCATAGACTGCGTCTGTTGAATGCAGAGCATACAAGTACCCGTGAAAGTCCTGCAAAACTTTTCAAATCTCGAATTCTCAAAAAGCATCTGATGTCCACGACTTCTAATGTACATTATTACAAAGGTAATAACTATAGACCTTCTGTTGGAATTATACTACAAAAAATGGGAAATCGAGTGGTGAAGATATTAGACATCAAAGATCACTCAGTTCATAACAGACACCTGGACAAAGTGACAATAAATGAAGTAGGTCGTTCCAATTATTATTTAATGATTCCGCTAATAATCCTGATTTTGTAGATAATTCAGAAATAAGTCCAGATAATACTGATGAAATTAATATCACAGAATCAGTTAAAGGTCGCAGCTACTTGCAAGCAAACCGAGACATCGTTATAAATACGCAAGGAGATATTCGAGGTGTGGCGGATGTGGTGATTGACAATTTCTATCTCTGTATTGTTTAAATACTTACTGTTGACTGTTAATATGTTTCATATAGGAATGGATAAGAATTCCGCTAAATACAAATTCCTGAATTCCGCCCTCTCTGTGTTTTGGTTGGATTCTTGTAATTCGGTCATCTTGAAATACTAATACTACAATTACAATAAATTACTACAAAGTATTACTACAGTAATAGTTTTGTATTGCGATGACAATCCTAAATCCGGACAATCAGTCGAACAAATAATGTATAAATCCATCAGTTTAACTAGCTTTCATGTTCTTGAAATATTTTCAGGCACATTGAGTCACCAGAAGTACACTTAGTCATCATCAGATTAATAAGAACAACCAATAAGATTGAAATAATGAATCAGGTCAACAGGTGTGTCTGTGTACTTGGTTAGAACATGAATTGGATAAACACAGATGACTCATAATTTCATGAATACATTGTATGAATGAATTTATGAACACATACAAATAATGTCACCCTTATCAGGTTGTTTCAACGTACGGCGTCTGTTTTGCGCGCTTATTTTCATTTGGGCGTTTGACATGAGAAAAACTTTATCTTAGGTACATATGCACTACTTCATTTATAAGAATTGCTGTTTTTTATGATTCACATTTAGTTGTAACAACCTTATAGTAAGTCTGTGTTAATGACAACTGCTGCACTACTTTATTCTTGTACTTTTGTATCTAAATACTTACTCTTTTAACTTCGTTGTTGTGATAATAGATTTCACTGACAGATGACTTCCATTCTGTCATAAAATGATCCGCATGTCTTTCATTATTTTCGGACTTTCCCAACTATTTATTATGCGATTTACCAATTTGACCTTTGACCTGAAACATTTCTTGGATAATACTACAACCTATCTACCTTATTATATTTTTTATCCTATCTTCGCATTTATTACACCTTTTAATTTTATTGATTTGACCTTTGACCTAAAATAGTCGTGAGACTTTCATTATCTAAAAAGGACATGCAAATGCCCTTCATTTTACCCCTGAAAAAGCAGGTAATGCCTGAGTTGCGATTATTACGTTGTAAATATACCACAGGAATGACCACTTTACAAATTATAACAACACCTGTGGGCTTAAAGATTTTAATTGTTAAACGGGGACACACTAACTCGGACAACTCAAACAATCAGACTTTTGAATAGATATTCATCAAAATCTCACTGAAATAAAAGAGCTTACGACGGATAATTTTTAAATGGCTTCCTTCAGTTAGTGGAATATTCATCAGAAACAACTTATTCTAAGATATATATTATTAGACATTCATGAAAATAAAGGAGTTTTAGATATTCATAGTGCCAAAAATACTGAACGATATATCCCTCAAAACACAAATTTGGGTTGAAAACTACTCGTCACTGTCAAGATAATCTGTAGCTAACTGAATATGCCTCAGGTACCTCTGGAAACATTACAAAACAGATGGACTAACTGTTAGGTTATTGGAAACAGGTTGGAATTCACTGCGTATTTTTCTTTCAATTTTTCACAATCGAATTTTGTAAATAAGTATTGTTTTAATCCAAGAATGTATTGACAGTTTGTTTGACTTCACTGTTGTACATAGTGCTTAGTTCAAATTTAAATTGATACGTTTCTGGGTGATAGTAAGTTATTGTTTTCACAAAAACAACAAAAAATATCTAATAACACATGCCACCTTATCTGTAAATAACATGATGCAGAAAATCAAATGCAGCATACCAGTCGCATTCCGTTGATATACAGTAAGGAATACTGAATTGTAAGGATATTGATCGACGTCGATTCTTACTTCTTTTTGAATGTTACAATCATGACGAAAATCGCAGTTGAAACAACGTAAGTATCTTTAATCTCTCTGAATTTTATGTATGCTTGCAGTCAGTCAAAACATATGAGGGAGGAGTAGACATTTTAAAGGACCAATCGTCAAGTTAGACAACCCTAGAATAAAACTCAGAAAGGAGCCTCCTTAGTTAGAGAGATATTTCATATAAGTGCATAAACCTAACCTCTCCTGGATGTCAGTAAATTTTCATCATCCAAACTGAAATAGTACATAAAATAAAGTTAAGAAACAGAAAAATACAAACCACACGAACAAGTAGAACACGTAAATATTGTTGGTTAGTTGGTACGTTTCACAATTTAACTCTAAAGCCTCGGAGAAAAATTCAAATTACTATGGGCTCATTTTAGAATGCAATTTGTCTACAGATATCTTAATCTTCACAGTTAATACTGATGATTTGTAGTCCGACTTTTATTGTAGTTCAAACGCTGATTACTACTTATCTCAAATCTTACCCATCTCTGAAATACAAAAGTACTGGAGTACAGGACAAATGACCTTCAAACAAGGACAGAAGCCTACAAAACGGTCTTAAACTCGTGAGAGAGATGTTTGATAGCTCACATATAACCAGTCTATGAGGCGACAAAACTGAAAAAGCTCTTAGTTAGCCTTAAATGGTGGGAAATAATGTAGAGAAAATTAATTTGTACACTGTAGTCACAGTTGACAGGATAATAGTGAGATTTGATGGGTGGGTTGTTATTTTTCTAATGCAAAATAACACTAATCTCGACTTATGAACTTGAAATCTTTCGTGTTGACAAATACAACTATTTGTGGTATACGAAAACTTTATGTGATCAAGAATACGACTAGCCTGTTTACAAGATGACTGGCAACACCAAAAGTCATTAATCGCGAAAATTCACTTAGTACACTGGTTGTTGACTTTTATTAGCCTGATTTCAAGTCATACACTACCATTGAAACGAGCGAGTTGTGTTTGAATTATCTATACACCTACGTGGAAATAGTACTGACATGACACTCGCCTTTAACGGAGACATTGAGAAACTATTACCAGTCTCACGGACAATTAGCACTTCTTCAGTAGATGTTAAAAACAGATTACTACTGGTATTATCTGTGAGATTTAAAATTCAGTAATCACACTGTTACAGTCATTAAGCGTATACTGTCATAAAGGAAATAGTTGTGAACACTGAAATGCATGAAGGGAGACTTCTGAAAAGCACAATATTTTCACAAAGTAATAGGCTGAATTCATAGCGTTAATCGTGTTAGCATGATTGAAAATATGTATTGTACCTGTTAGTGTTATAACTGTACTGAATTAAATAAACAAACCAGTCGCTATTTTTTTTATGTCTGAGCCTGCTAATTGTTATAACGATAATGAACTTGAGTGGTACGTTAGTACGCCTATTTGTCCGTTGTACCTTCCAATTCATTCATCAGAAGAGAAAGGTTGGCCTGTGATTGTAAGATTTTGCATTGTACATTTATTAGGAGACAAAACATATTGATACATTTCTTTACCACAATAGAGTCAGCCCACAGCCATGAGAATGGACTGTTCTTATTGGCTAGAAAATATCTATCCTGATTGTTTGACGATCGGACAAAGACCAAGACGAGACAAAAGATGATGGCAAGATCAAACACTAAATCACAATATGCGTGAGAAATGATAGATTCACTTAGTAAATCCATAACAAAATAAATCACATGATTCGTGAGAAAGGATGATATACTATCTTATGCTGGTTCCCATCAGTCAGTTGTAAAACAAGATACTTATTATTTAGGAGTAGGGATATAAATCATTGCAAAACAAACTTGGCACACTATTGCTTCGATATAATTTAATAGGTAGCAGGAGGGTGTTCAATTGCAACTTGAATCTCCTCAAGTAGCCAATTTTATGTGATTTGGTATTTCGTGCTTAGAGGAATGCTGTAGCCATATCACATGTTACGCTGAAAGTATTTTGTCGACATTTTTTACACAGTTGGAATATCTGCTGTGACGTTTGTTACGCTATGTGACTGTTTTACACTGTTCCTAAGATATGTGTATCACCACCTCCATATTATTATCAATATGCTTAAGAGCAGGAGAGAAATTCCATATGAAATTAACATGTTACATTAAGAATTTGTGGGTGCTTAAATTTCGTTCCAGTTTTTCATGACCGCACACGCATAACATCGATAGTGAAAATATACATTTCATTAGTATAATATTACACAGATATAACATATTGTTCATCAATGATACACAATACTCTATGCATGCACTTACATAAAGTTTTGACCAGACAACGGTAAGGTTGTTCGTTGTGTCATATAGTCAGAAATATAAACCTGTTTTATGTCTAGTTCAGGGTTCAACCACTGACTCACTTCTAACTCTCACCTGACCGATGGTTAGTAAACCCGGTCTCCTTCACCCCCCCCCCTACCCCCCCAAAAACACACACATCACAAGTGCTACTGAAACTTCAAACCTAAATGGTTGAAGCCCTATTTCCCCGTTGGAAGGTAAAGAAATTAAGACGACTGGCTAGTGAAACTAACAAACTTCCTGCTGATTGAGGTCGTTGGAACTACAGCAACACTTTGTTTCTTCAATGTGAAATTTAAATCTGGAACAGGTTGCAACTTGAAGTGAGAAACTTAGCCTTTCATTCCATGAAGTTCAAAGAAAAAAGAGAAAGAGTCAAAAGTCATTGATATAATTTTGTCATTCTCATTCGTCAGTAAAGCAAGAAAAGAAAAGAAAGAGGAAAGTGTATACATACAAAAAAAGAGAGGTAACATTAGAGAAAAGATAGAGTATCCTGAGTATTCACAAATAAATGCATATCAAAACAAAAAAATCATTACAATAATCATAATAATATAAGTATAATTACAATAGTCGTATTCGACAATTCGCTTCACCACAATAACAATATAACACTTTAAACGGTACTGCATCAACTGTGTAGCCATAATCCCAAGTCATTTCTTCGCCAACTTCTATATTCCTATAATAAATGAAGAGTAAAAGTAATAAAATCAACAGCATTATAACAAGGTAACTTGTAATCATAGTGTAAAATATAAACAGAATGGGGACAACACATAATAGGAATCTGTGTTTAAAACATTTGAAGGTAAACAACTTCCACAAGTACTTCAAAAGATACAATTCAATACATGCAACTACAAATTACTTAATTTAATTTGGATTTTCCCGTCAACGGATTGGACCAAAGTGTTCGGTCTACGGTCGACATGTCGGCTCCCTGTGCAGATACTTCGACGATGTCTGATCATGTGTAACTCGAGGTCATTTGGTTGATGGTGACAAACCAACGAAATCAAGGATGCGCGTTTCGTCCTGTTTTCGGGACTCATCATCTGGATGTACCTGGATATACATACTACTGTTTGATTGAGACCAGTAGTTGCATACTGCTCATATCTACACCAGAAGGGTTAACCAGACAGGGCCGTTTCCCTCGGTTGAGACCAAGCTCAAATCCAGTGTGACTCAGCTTAGACACAGGTGGATCAGTTCAAGCAAACCGATTTTTGACTAGCAAATGGCTGTCCAGTGTTTTGAGATTAATTCGATCTGGCTGGGAGGCAATGATGGTTGATGTGAGTAGCATATATAACTACTGATCTCAATCAGTCAGCAGGTATATAGTTCCATACAATTATGCTTATCTCCTTGACTACCATTCATGGCATCAAGCAGATCATGTTATCGAAGGAAACTGTGGTGAGATTTCACTTCGAAATGTGCAAATTGTAAATGTGGCAATTTGAGATATTATTTCAATTTTCTTTCTTTGGTAATGCGGTTTAGCATGTATGCATAGATATTCTTGCTAAATGTTCATAAATAATCTGTAAAGTCATTTGAATGTATAGCTTGTGCAATAGTTTTCAGACTGATATACAAACTAAAACACCTTACGAATATATATACTTCTGTTATGGTGAGAGCAGGCTGCTAACCAGTTGGTAGACATTAATTTACGTCAATGTCTAGGTCATTAATATTGGCCATGATAAAATATGAAGAAGGCTGATTCAACAACCAATCACAGCAGACTTGACGTGGGCCGATAAGATTCGCAGATAGATGGCTTAACTTTCCGAGAAGCCAGAAACAACCAATCAGAAGACTGTGTTTGTCTGCTTAAATAAGCTATAATAATGTACATGAAATATATATAAATACGTGCTGATTTCCGTAATAAAAACGATCTGTTGCCAGCCCTTGTCTTCTGTTGTTACACTGTTATATGCACGACACGAAAGGTCATTGATACAAGTAGTCTTGGATCTACTAAAACTACCCCTCTCAAGCAAATGACACTGCAGTTAGGGAAATCACGTCAATAAATCGTTTAAGTTACAGTAATAATAATAATAAAAATATGAATAGAACTAGAACACAAAGCATTACCTCCACATTCATAAAAAGAAGGGACGCTTTCAGAGCCCACTCCTCCCCACCTATAAATCGTCTGGGATAGCTGACGCCGAATAGGCTCAGGTCTTTCGCTCGAAATCTTTTCATATAGACAGGTGTTCTTAGCATCTACCAGCGAACTCCTACCAACAACTGTCGCTCAGATGTGGTTGGTCTTACATAGTTTGCTAAGGGCAAATGCGAATGTCAAGCAATCATTACTGGATATGATGGCTTTATTGAAACGAATTGGAAAATTCTAGTTCCAAACATATGTTGTACATGGATTCCACAACACAAAAAGAATGGCAAATGAACCAGTCTTTAACACTGACAACTGTAGGGGAACGCAACTGTTTACTTAGCTCTACTTTACGTCAAAGACTCGAAGAGTAGTGTCCTTACGATAACCGTGTGCTTTAGTTTGAGTGTTCGAGCAATATATCAGCCTTCGCATGAATTATGAAACGTCAATTCAATGGAAAGTTCATCGAATCCTACATTAATGCAACGCAACGCACCCATTTCTTTATCAACATTACGTTAATTCCTTTAAGTCGTTATCATTCTATTGTTATTCTCAAACATGAAATGTATTGTTCTATTTCTATTATCTTTGTCTTCATCAGCTGAACAGTGTTATTTGAAAGTTTAGTCCATTTGTACCGTTTTGAGTCACTCATGTGCTGCTTTCAGACAGCTGGCCTCTAGCGCAATACTTAGGCTCGCTTACCTACCCTCTCAGGCGAACCATTACAAATAATCAGGAAGTTCAAATGCACTTCATTTTTGAGTATCGGAGATTATCATAGATGAAATTTTCAGTCGTATAACGAAAGACATAGAGGCATACACCAAGCTCGATGATCTCCTGTGGAGTTGTGTGATTAGTTCTGTTTTCAAAAGTTGAGTTTACAAACAGATAGGGTTTAAAAGATTACACTATTCAATAACTTAAGACGTTATCAGACATTTTACAGAGTCGAAATTAATGATAAATGTGCTGGAATTACCATCAATCTTCTCGTTTTGATAATAATACGAATGAAGGAATGTTTCATTGAATACTGTTGTCTGATACTGACTAACCCGTGTCTTTATTTTATTTTCCCTGAATTTACTGAAGAGCTCATGTTTATGCTTTGAATAAGTGATCAAATTTGAAAAAAAACGAAATCCCTATCAACTAACTTTTGGAAATTAATGTGATGCTCACTGGTGACTGACTGAATACAGGATGAAATTACCTGGAGTAAGTCCTATTAAGAAGTCATGATGAGTGGAAGCCATCACCACGTCGGGTATGAGGACAAATACTCGCCGATAACATTGCCTGGTGATCGCATTAAAAAAAATTGCGAATTAACAGAAGTTAGAATTCACGAATCCATGAATTCCGGCGGCTAAGTGACTGGATGGTCAGTCAATACGCTCACACCTTGTAACTACCACCAGGTATTGGGATAGAGTCCCCATGAGTGAGTACTACTACTACCACTACGAGACGAGATGTTCGACTATCGACCAAAGGGCGGGTGTACTGCTCATCAGTCCGCTCCGTCCTCCTTCATGGCTGGTTGTGAGACCTGGCCACTGAGAGTGGAAGACATGAAAAGACTAGCTGCCTTTGATCATAGGTGCCTGCGTTCTATTTCCCGTGTAAAGTGGCATAATAAGGTGAGCAACATGGAGGTTAGGCGTAGAGTTCTAGGTAAACAGGGGAAATCAATCGACGAAGTCGTGAAGCTACAAAGACTGAGATGGTTAGGACATGTGTTACGTATGCCAAGTCATCGCCTCCCTCGACGAGCTATGTTAGCGGATATAGGGTCAGGCTGGAAAAAAGCTAGCGGCGGTCAAACAAAAACTTGGCATCAGTCAATGAAATCCACAACAGTTGGTCCAAGCCACGTAGAAAGGTGTAGACTGGCTTTCAGGGTGGGGTCCTCGGGACGGTAAAAATCTATGGTTGGAAACAATTGGTGACATGGCTCAAAACCGTTCTCAGTGGCGCAGATGCATCCACTCCCTGTGACTTATGATCTTCAATGAAACTGTTTTGTATTTCTTTATTACTCCTTTGTCTCACACCTCTGCTCACTGTTTCTATTATGCTTTTCTTGTACTTTCTTCTCTTGCTTCGCGTGCTACACGGAATGTGGCGACTTGAACTTCCGCACATTTGTGCAAAGTTCTATGTCGAAAACAGACAGATAGACTACTACTACTGGTTTTCAACAGTTTCCTAAATGATGTCAATCACCATGATGTAACTTGAAATTAAATTAAATCAAACCCCAACAAATCAACTCTTTGAAATTGGATAAAAATGAATTTGAGTACTTTCACGAGGAGTTATTCTACCTACCCTACACAATTGACAAATATATCCCATTCTGTATTCGACAGTGTTTAAAAAAAACTTAACTATTAACGAGATAGAGAAGTTCACAGTGTTGTAAATATTCCAAAATATTGCTAAGACTAAAGCAATACGGTGTATATCTTTTCTTCTTTCACGTTCCCCAGTGGAACATAGGGCCTCAAGCTAGTGGCTTGAAGTTTCTGTGGCAGTATTAATTTTTACAGGATATGGTTGCTAGCCTCAGGCCCAACCTTTCCTCTTTATCCGCATTACTTCTGGCTTAGCGAGGTAAGGGAGTGAGTCGGCCGGGGATCAAACCCTGGACCATGTGCATGGTCGGCGAGCGTTCTAACCGCTATACCACCGACGCACTAATACGGCGAATATACCTACGCCTAATATTTGACTACTGATCAGAAAAGAAGAAAAATAATCATCATCATCAACAACAACAACAACAAGAAATAGAGAAAACTACGAACCGTTTAGCAAAGAATGCAACTTCAGGAAATCGAGGATCATGAGTATCAATAAAAACATTTTGAACAAATACATTTGGATTGCATGAATGATTTAAATAACGTCCAAGATTTCCCATTTTTTTAGCATCCATAATATATGGATTAATATCATTGAAATAAGATCTAGCATGTAACCAGTCTTTTTCAGCAACAGGATATACACGTTTAGCTTGTTGTTGTTGGGATTCCTGTTGTCGGTGTTTCTGTTGTCCATCATGATGGTGTTTGTGATGGTCATGGCGATGATGATGATGATGATGGTGGTGATGGTGACGATTATGTTTTTCACTTTCCCTTTGTTGAGATTTTGAACTTTCACCTTTTTTATTATGCTCAATTTCAGGTTCTAGACTAACTGAGCGTATAACTGAAGAAAAAAAAATAAAGAAAAGTCACAATGTTATTTAATTTTCACATGTGAAGCATTTAACGACATAAAGAATAGGACTGGGGCACTGTTGTAAAGGATAATTCCATCATACAGTAAACCCATTTGATAAAAAATCACACATTGATACAGGATTATTTACTGATCACGTTTCGAGTACAATTAATGACTCAGTTATCGTCCCAAGGCACCCACCCACATAACTTTTCAACCTGGTTTATGTAATTCAACTATCTCTTATCCTTTGATTTTATTGGTGGTAAATATTTTTTCCTATCTGTGGTGTAAAAACAGAAGACAAGGGCCAGACAACAGATCCTTTTTTATGGAAATCAACACATCTATAGATTTTCATGTACATTATTTTAGCTTATTCAAGCAAACAAACACACTCTTCTGATTGGTTGTTTCTCACAGAAAGTTAACCTTGCATCTCTTTATGGCTGTTTCTTGAATGTCAGATCATTTGTATGTTAACTGTATCTGCCTAAACAAAGCCTTTGTTCTCATTTTTCTCACGACCAATGTTGGGGACATAAACATTGACGTAAATTACTACCCACCAATTTTGACTAACAGTCAGCTCTCACCACACTGGTATTGGTGTTGAGTAATTCCTATTGTATGTATTAGTTGTAGACTTCATGAACAAAGATTTTAAGTAATCAACGTCTGCCTCCCATCTACCTATATTTCTTTCTGCAGCTGTAGTTCTTTTCCACCCTATTGCGCCGTTGTTTGTTGATGCATGCACTGAGTTCCTTTCTAAATGACTTAACTTCCTGATGTCCGTCATTCTACACTTAGCTAAATTCTTATGCTCCGATAATCTGACTATCCCCCAACCTACTAGTTTGACCTATGTAGTTGACGTCACAGTTATTACAAGGTATTTTGTGTAATACGTCATTTTGTCTAATTGGATTAATAGGATCCTTCAGCTTAAAGAGCTTATCCCTGAGTGAGTGTGCAGGTTTAAATACCACTCTAATTCCTGCTTTGTAAGGAATCCTTTTCCTTATACAGTAAAAGTGCAGATGCCTTAAATTCTTTCCTATTTATGCTATGGGCAACAGTTTCAATACTTGTGTCAATGTAGTTGAAGATTGAACGATCGATTCATGGTTGTTTGCTCAAACCCAACTCCTCCATATTTTTCGCGGAGTCATCAATCCATCAGTCATCGTCTCATCGTTCGCTGTTCAGTAGAAGATAAAAAAATACCAGAAGTATTATCGTGGTTTGTTGTCATAACATTCATTCTTAAACCATGTGTAATAACCTTATTGTTGGTTACATGTTGGCGTAAGAATAAAGGATTCTTGATTTGCCAATCAGTGTTCTGGTTTTCGCGTTGGTTAATACAAAGTGTTTCTGAAAGTCTTCGAGGGACAGCGTGAGGTCCAGCGTAGTAAGAGCTGGACATTGACAGTTTATGAGAGTTGGCTGACAACTTGTCTTCAATTGTCAGCTTTTGTGATCCTCTTAGGGAAGTTTATGGAAGAGTTATTTAGCGGCCAACGCTTCTTCTATTTCATCATGTAGGTTTTCTACGCCTGCCTTTACAGATAATGGATGAGATGAACTAAAGCCTAAATATATATCTATTAGAGTGTGTATGGGCTTTTTCTGAACGCTGTTGCATTCACCTTGTCTGTTTCCTGGCTCAAATAAAAATAATGACGCGGAAGACAAAGACCAGGAAACAGATTGTTTTTTGAGAAAAACAACAGATACCTATAGATTTTTATGTATATTGTTATTCGTTATTTTAGCAGAGAAGGAGTGTCTTCTGATTGGTTGTTTTCGCATTGGAAGCTATTCTTTCATCTCTTTATGGTCATTTCTTAGACAGCGAATCGTATCCGCCCACGCTAACTCTGCTGTTATCGGTTGTTGAGTTAGTCATTGGTGTTGTTGTTGTTATTTTCTCATGACCAAGATTTGGGACGTAAACATTGACGTAAATTGCTGTCGACCAATTTTGGCTAGCAGCCAACTCTTACCACACCTATACTATTGGATTTATATGCATCTTCAAAATAATAAAATAATATTGTATCCCACTGTATGGATTTATCAAATAAATTTTCTTTATGAGGGTATGAAGTATTCAAATGTGGATGGATATATAACGCCTCTCTATATTCAGTGTTCACCATATTCCCATGCAGCTTGGGAATTTTCGGTATTTAGTAACAATGTGAAATTCCAGCATTTTTAGCAGACAACTTATCTGTTGTTGTCGTCATCATTACTATTCACTTCGCTTCCTAGCAGAACTGTATGGGCTTCAAAAGCACATCTCCACTTCATCCTGTTCTCTGCGGTCGTCTTTAACCGCCTTGACGATTGCTCATAATCTCTTAACCCCTCCTCCTCCTCCTCACCACACCATCTCCTCCATGCCACACTCGGACCAATGCTGGACTCGTTACTTCTCATTTACGTTCTACCCAAATGCCTGGCACATGAGGTCACTCAACGTATATATATTCGACCCATCTGGATTTTCTTCATAATATTTGTTGGGCTAGCATTCGGTTCTTGGTTGATTCTTTACTACAATTCTCCACTGTGTATCATCTACAGTCGATTATCTGATCATCAGTATTGAGTCAGAGAAAGCAGTTATCTATCAATGAAAGTTTAAAGCCTGTTGGAAATGCTTTTTGTGACACGAGCGCGCAACGTCTCTAAACCATATATAGAAGAACTGACTTGACACTTGATTGGATACTAGTAACTAGTGTGACGTGTCTAGTCCTTTCTTCGGTGCAGACTGAATTCTGTCAGTCAGGTTTGCAATGTGGCCGCCATTCTAGGTAGTTCACCATCAAGGTACAGATTGATTTGATGATATTAGATAATTGGAGGTAATCGGCCACAGGAAGCCTTGCTCAACCTAGGTTTCGTGCTAGTTGGCACTCACCAGTCACCAAGGTGTACCTGCAGCCTTGAAGGAACTCATGTCCCTTCTGAGATTCGAACCCGCGTCGCCCAGTGAGGCTGCAGTCAGAGACGTTACCACTGAGCTATTCGGGATCACGATTGACCTCCTGTAGGACTGTAGTGGGTAGTTTGACTTGACATTAGCGTTGAAAATCCGAATATTGTTCGTTATGCTTGCTGCAGCAGATGTTCAGATTAATGAAGGCCTGTCGTGCATATTAGAAATATAACGTGTTCGTGACCGTTAAAGTATCATTCAGTTATTTAAATACTGAACATAATGTAAGTAAGAACTCACGTTTACTCCGACTGCGTAACCCTCTAACCAGTGAAGTACTTTCATCTCTGAAAATAAGACAAGTTATCAAATTATTTTTATCTAATAAATCTAAAACAATTTTAAATTCTTATGTATATGTCTAGTATGACACAGAGATTTCCTATGATCCATATAACTTTATCAAGCTTCATTTCATATTACTATTGTTTATTCTATTCTTTTGATCTCCCAGTGGAACATAGAGCTGTAAGCTAGGAATTTGAAGTTCCACTAGCAATGGTTCTATCTCTACAGGATAAGATTGCTAACCTTACGACCAACCTTCCCTCTTTACCGCTATTTACTACCCACTTAACGAGGTAAGGGAGTCAGTCGGTCAAGGATCGAACCCCGGAACATTTTTCCTTGGTTGGCTAGTGAACTACCACCGAACCACCGACTCACCTTCATTCATTCATTTGATATAACACACAGTGATACACCATTAATAACTGGACGGTGTTTGGATCATAACTTATTATTCACTATCATATCAATGTATTCTCACACAGCTTCGTAATTTACTCTATATATTTTTTCTCCTCCCCTCCCCGTTATTTATTGTACTTTTCCATATATATCCGGTGCAGACATTGCATAACTTTGATTGCACGTATCCAATGTTGATTCGATGGACAAAGATTCAGTGACTAACGCGTCTCTTTTTAATACCGTCACCCTATCCTCACCTATTGTGTAGTAATTACATGCAAGTGAATACATTGCAATGGGAGATCTTTACTCTAGGTTATTTAACTTACCAGGTACGATAATCTGATTAACCCTCGTCTACAAGTTTCACCTATGTAATTTACCCATCCCCCCTCGTCATTACATGGGTATTTAGTAAATTATACTACTTTTCTTAATTGGATCCATTGGGTCCTTGAGCCGACAAAGTTTATCTCTGAGAGAGTCGTATGACTTAAATATCACCCCAATTCTAGCCTCATTAGGCGGCCTGAGCAGAGCCTCTGATGTTCCTTTTTCTAGATTATTTTGATTTCATTATTTAAATCTTCTAGTTTACTGTTAATTAGGCTCCTGGCCCAGATAATATAGACACTTAACTAAACCTATCGGCATCGAATCTAGATGGAATGAACAAAAGTCTGTGTATTCATTAGAATGCGTCGGTTTCCTGTAAATTTTAGTATCTAACCCACCATCTTGTTTTACAACCTAGTGTCACCCCTACTCACTTTCTTCATTTTCTAACTCAAAGGTGAGTAGGATTCCATCCGCCAAAGAAATTGCATATGTGAAGGACTTCGTACTGATGAAAACAATTCCACGATATGAAAAAAAGAAACATTAAGCGGAAACTAATGTCTAGTCATCGATATTCGCCGGGGTGGTGGTTCAGTGGTTCACTAACAAAATGCTGGCTAACCAGTCGTATGTGAGGGCCGCGTTCGACCGGAAAAGAGGAATCAGTTGGCGATAGATTCAACTAGAATGTTCAGAAGTTATTTATCAGCAATAATATATACACATATATACTTACGTTTCGGATAAATTTGCTTTAGAAGATAAACTTTCTTTGCTTTCTATTGGAGCCGACAATGGCACAGCTGTAAATGCACTTGTTGATCTGACACGCCGAAGTTTCAGTTTAAGACTACCACCACCATGAGACTGACATGACGATGATGGTGAATCTTTGTCTGCTGTAGTCATACTTGGTGAATCAACGATTGAATCTAATTTAGAATCACTGGGAAAAAAAGAGAATTGTACAGAATAAAGATATAAACAGAAAGATGGCGAGTCAAACGAACTCACTCCATATAACACGGCTACATAAAAACTACCTGCTACGGTCAACGGTGGGTAGGTACAGATTTCAGTCTACCTCTCAAAATGCTCTCATGTGCCCACGAACGCATAACTTATGCCAGGTAAGTTGTATTTACTGTCTTCACGCCACGGTGAGAATGTTCCTCACAAAAGTTAAGAGGTGCGGATTTCGAACTTCTGGGGCTTACAGTCGGACTAGTGGACATGCTTGTCTATACCTACAGGAGATGGGAAACGTTGATTCCAAACCTATGATATACAATCCAAACAGGTCAAATGTTATATGGTTCATATATTGGTTCTCAGAATCCTGAGAATCTTCAGTCAATGACTCTAACTAACTATCGAAGACTTCATAGATCGATGCTTTGTTTTGCTTTTGACCACTGCTATGTCTTAACCAACTTACTGCCAGATCCGATAAGATTGGTCGACGAGGAAGAAAAATATAAGAATTAAGAAGTCGACAAAGTTCTCAACTTATGATCAAGTGTGAAAATCAACTTATCGTGGTTGTGTGACAGGTTATGCTATAGTGGAAAGCTGTTTACTATCTGAATAGTAATGGATGAGTGATGTGGTAGATAAGTTCACCATTTTTATGCATAACAGTAGCCAGATAATACTCTCTAACGAATTTCTTTCCCATTTTACCAAATCTATATAGAGACAGTGAAATTGACGTAGAACTTTACACAGTAATGCATGAATTAGTACAAGTTTATAAAGTAGCATATTTTTATGGGCATGGAATATTCAAAACTAGGAAATAGAAATATAATCATAAAAAATGATAAAGAATAACTCAACGTAGATTAGTGAAAACGTTCAAATGCTGGCAAAATGCAGAGTTTTCAGAACACCTTGAGCAGCAATCTTCGTATGTTTGGCATGCGACTCGCCCCTGCAAAATGTAAGATGCTGCTACAGGACTGGACTAAGTCAACTTCCAGCTTAGTGATAAAGAGTGAAGTGATAGAACAGGTTGACCACTTCACCTATTTCGGAAGTTGTATCAACACCAACGGATTGATTGGCGACGAAATCTCAGCACGGATCCAAAAAGCTCGAGCTGCTTTCGCTAACTTACACCATCTCTGGCGTAGGCGTGACATCCGGCTATCAACCAAGGGACGTGTGTACTGCTCACCAGTTCGCTCCGTCCTTTTCTATGACTATGAAACATGGTCAATATGAGTTAAAGAGATGAAAAGGTTGACTGTTTTTGATCATAGGTGTCTGAGATCTCTTTCTCACGTTAGGTGGTTTCACAAGGTAAGTAATGTTGACGTTAGGCGTAGTGTTGAGCAAAGACGGAAAATCAATCGACGAGGCTATAAAGTTACATGAATTGAGATGGCTAGGTCACGTGCTGTTCATGTCTAACCATCGCCTCCCATGGCGGGCATTACTAGCTGATATAGGTGCAGGTTGGAAAAGAGCCAGTGGTGGCCAAACAAAAACATGGCCTCATCAATCCATGAAATCCTTGACAGTTAAACTGAGTCAGGTAGGGAGATGCAGCCTTCCGGGTTGGGGCCCTCGGGACTCTAAGAATCAATGGCTGGAGACAATAGGTGACATGGCTCAAAGTGATCGTTGTCAATGGCGCAGATGTATTCAGTCTCTTTAATCTTTCATGTTCGTTTCTACCATTACCCACTCTGTTTCGCTCTTTATACCTGTCAAACTCTATTGATTCTATTCACTCATCTTGTTGTTTACCTTTGAGTGCTATTTGGAACATGGAAACTCGAACTGGTGCACCTCGGTGCCAAGTTCTATGCTGAATCCAAACAGACAGAGAGCCAAATGTAAGATAACTGGGCTACAGGATTGGACTACATTGACTCCTAGCTTAAACATAGGGAGTGAAGTGGTAGAGCATATTGACTACGTCTCTCCTTTGAGAAGTAGCATCAGCCAACGCCAGCGAGTTGATTACTGACGAAGTCCTAACACAGATACAAAAGGCTCACTTAGCATATGCCGCTTTACACTGTCTCTGGAGGAGACGTGATATCCGGTCGGCTATCGACCAAAGGACGTGTGTGTTCTGCTCAGCTGTTCACTCTGTCCTCCTTCTAGACTGTGAGCGAGACATGGCCATTGAAAAAGGGAAGACATGAAAAGACTGGCTAGCTAGTTGTCTCTGATCATAGGTGCCTGCGTTCTATCTCCCGTGTTATGTGGTGGTATAATGGGGTGAGCGATATTGAGGTTAGGCTTCGGTCGAGTGCTCGGTAAGGAGGAGGAATCAATAGACGAGGCTGTGAAGTTACATCGGTCGAGGTCGTTAGGACATGTGTTGTGTACGCATGCCTAGCTATCGCCATCCTCAACGAGCAATGTTGGCTAACTGACTTTGGATTGATCAGGTGGGGAAAGTGCCAGTGGTGGTCAAACCAAAAGCATCGCTTCATCAGTCAATGAAACCTTCGACAGTTCATTTAAGCCACGTAGGAAGGTGTAGACTGGTTTCCTGGTTGGTATCCTTTGGATGGTAAGACTAATGAAAGCTGAAGACTCGGTGATATGGCTCAAAATCGTTCTCAATAGCTGGCGCAGATGCATCCACTCCTCGTGAACTATAATATCCGAAAAAGATATATTGTTCTCCTTTTTGCTTCATATCTCTGTTTATTATCGCTGTTTGGAATCTTTTTCTACTTTCTTCTCTGGCTTTCTATGTTACGTGAGGTGTGGCAACTCAAACAGCTGCAAATCTGTGCAAAGTTCTTCGTTGAAACCAGTCAGCCAGTCAGAAGACGTTCAAAATTTCGAAAACGATGAAGGATGGTGGATGTATAATTTGATACTAAAAGACATTGTACACAGATTATATTCAAATGTGACCACCTATTGATATCAGTTAGGGAAGCATTGAAAACCAGGAAGTACATTCGATGGTTATACCGTCCTCGTGTGGGACTCTTCAGAAGTACGAACTCACGAACTTTACTAAGGACCGAACCGGAGGTTATGACGACAAGCTGGTTGACCGTCCAGCTTAGTGGGCCGCAATTCAATGATCCGTGAATTCTAACTTCTGTCAGTTATAGTATATTCAGTTCTATCTACTTTAGCAACACAGATAAGGCTTTCAAAACAATTATTACTACACTAATTACATACTTTTCTGGAGGTGTAATCTGTACAGTAGTAGTAGTAGTAGTAATCGATTTATTTGAGTCAGCTGATTGAGTTGAACTAACACACTCTTCATCCTTTTCCTCTTTCTTCTCTTCATCAGTAAGTTTTGGACTGTGCACTGGACTCTCTACAGATTCAAGATCCTTGGTTTTCTTGTCAGTCTTTGTAATATCGTCTTCCTGTTTAAAGTCTATAAAATTTACACAAAATAAACAATGTGCATGAAATATTTAATAATTTGTATAATTGTATGTCATAAAGTGATTTAATGGATTGATGTGTTTAGAATAACAGGCAAGCCTTTATTTCCATCTTACATGATTTCCATGTCACCCTCGGATGCTAACTCGCTGTTTCTTTTTCAAGTTCCTCTCAGGCATCTGATGCGGGATATCAGTCAGCGGTGTCCTTAGCGTAGAATCAACCCATCTTCATTTCATTCCGTATATTTGTTGGAATGTAATCACTGCCTATACTCAACACTGGTGTTATCCTATGGAGTCAATACACCCATTGGTGTAGTTGTGAGGTTTTTATTGTCTTTGTAGACACCATTTTCAGCGAATCTTCTGAATTCTTCACAAGTTTATCGGCCATTCCTCCCAGTAACCGTGAACATGATTGGTTATTTTCTGTACATTTTCTCACCCTCCAGTCCACATGTACTGGCATTGAATGTTTCAAAAAACAGGTCAACAAAACCCTCATTACCGATATAAGTGAACTGGAGGGTAAGAGAATAGGCAGAAACAACCAATCACTCTCAAAGTTACCAGAAGAGATGGCCGATAAACTATTGAAGAATTCAAAAAGATCACTTCAAATTGAAGTATGCATAGGGAAGACACAAATAAGCCCATTGATATAAGAATAGAACTTGTGCGCTGTGGTAGAGTATAATCCCATTATGGGTAAAATTTATTTTGATAAAGTCGCACAGTGTTAAGCAGTAATATTTACTGATGACCACGTTTCGAGCACAAATTATTGCAGCTCATAATCATATCAAGTCAATCACACAACTTTTTACTTCATTTATTCACATGAGTGGAATTGATTAGATATTTGAATAAAAATTCATTATAGGATAATATATATATTCATAAATTATAATATGAGTGTTATCAGTAAAATACAATAAGATGGGAAATCACACGAGTGTTTTTATAGTCAAAATAAGTAACTTGTTAGAATGTTATGATGTACTTGAATGGAAATAGAATTTTAAGATTCAAACCTACAAACTCACTCAGGTAAGACAAGCTCTGCAGGTTAAAAGACCTTGTAAATTGACCCAATTAGACAAAATATTATAATTTACAAAATACCCTGCAATGACTGTGAGCTAAGTCAACTACATAGGTCAAAAGTGTAGGTCGGGGGTAGTCAGATTATCAGAACATAAGAATTTAGCTAAGGTAAGAGAATGGTTGACCCCGAGAAGATAAGTAATTTAGAAAAAAGCTCAGCTATATCACTGCATGCATTAACACACAACCACACAATAGGGTGGGATAGGGTGAAAATTCTAAAAAGTAATCTAGTCAGGTGGAGGGAGAGAGGTTGATTACTGAATCCTTGTTCATTGAGTCTACACCAAACACATGCAATAGGAATGATTCATCACTCATACCCGAAATATGGAAAATACTACTACCAATCAAATCAAGTGAAAAATAATAGAACTATATAAATGAAGTTAAGAAGTTGTGTGAGTACCTTGATATGATTATGAGCAATGAATTTTGCTCAAAACGTCACCAGTAAACATTACTATATAGCACTGTGAGACTTTATCAAGACAAAATTTGCCCATAATGGAATTACACTCTACCACAGTGCACAAAATTTATTCTTATATCAAATGTTCCAATTTACAGCACAAAATTCACTAAAGCATACAGTTAACTATGATGTCACCTAATGATGAAATCCAGTAACCAATTTAATTAAATCCCTACAAATCAATACTTGAAAATATGAGGGGAATTGCAGTGAATCAAGTGAATAAATCCAACTATGAAATTAAAATTGTAAAATAATTGTACATTGTTTATTGATGAACTAGGGGTTTCCGATGGAAAGTCAGTTTCGTCAAAAGTGTAACGACTACAAAATTGGTGTCCAACAGGTATTCTTGCTGGTCATACATACATATATTGCCGAAATCACAGTGCACCACACAGCGAACAATAGTAATGTCTTAATCAGCTTAGGCGACAATTTGCAAACTTAGACATACACAAGACTACATAGTTGCATAGGGTATCGAATAGCAATCAGTCTGTGTACAATTAGTATTCTAACTACAGGTATTTCATTACTGTAGATTATTATGTTAACATCGAAATAAACAACAATCGGAGGAGAGCTTTGTGCGATTTTGGAAGTCTGTGAGCAGTTGTTATTTCCCAATACTTCAACATCAATTCTTTTTGGAGCACCTGAAATAGAAAGAGAATTAGTGTGTTGTATGAGTGCAGAGCACATGTGACAACTGCTTGAGACCGGTCATAAACGGCTTGTTTCAATTGGTTTTTGGTATTCCGTCCGTATTAAGAATTTACCACAGGCTACGAACCACCGCAAAGTAATTAGCGATGTAAAATTTTCGAGATCAACCTTTTTGACCTCCATCTCCAGAGGCAAGAAGTAGCATATAACTGAAAGAGATATATCTTACTATCTGTTGAGAGCTGTCTGCAAGACAAAATTGGGAAACAGCAATTTACGTCCCAAAATCTTGGTCATGACAAAGAACACAAACAAAGCTTTACCTTGAGGAACTCAACAACCAATCACAGCAGACTTAGCATGGGCGAATACGATTCGCAGGTATATGACCAGACTGTCTAAGAAACGGTCACAAAGAGATGACAGAATAACCTTCAGCAGGAAAACAACCAATTAGAAAACGTTTCTTCTCTGCTAAAATAACGAATAATAATGTACATAAAAATCTATAAATATCTGTTGATTTTCCCAGTAAACGATCTGTTTCCTGGCCCTTGTTTTCTGTCGTTACAACTGGCGTTACATCTCTATTACTTGGCAATACAACTTCTCCCTCAAACCTCGCAAACAGCCTGGTTGGTCTCAAAACAACATCTCTGGGATGGTAAAACCACCTGCAAGAATATCAAATCCATCCAGTATAGCTCGGGTTAGGTCATTGCAAAATGCAAGCGTGACCACTACGTCAAGGTAGCAGCTATCGGTGATGAATCACATTAATACTAATTACAACAGAATTAATTTTGGATAAAAAAGATTTCATTAAAAATTACATTCATAACAGGTAACTTCAGTGACGAAATATGTAGTGTGAAGGGGTAAAAACAAATAATATTATAAGCATACAAACTTACCATCTTGCAGTGGAGATAATTGTACAACTGGTATCTTACTGAAATCTGCCTCATGTAACAACTGTGTAGCATTACGAAGTAATCGAAAACTACGTGGTAAACTACCCGCTCTTCTTGACCAAATTGTTTTCGATTTATTCTTCTTAGCAAATGCTGTTTGCTTAGAAAGCTGGATTGCACGATTCTGAGGTGACAATTTCTTTGATTGGCTGTTTAACTTTACTTTAGCTGAATATTTATTTATTCGATTGTATTTAGCATAATAATGCGTAGGGATTGTAATGTCTTCTTTATCAACATCTGGGCATAAATTCACCTGAACTTTTGGTTTAACTGACTCACAGTGTTTAGTTCCTTTAAATTTGCTTTTAGCTTTCTTCAAGCTTTTATTCACCACCTTTACGTGAGTATCATTATTATTTGTTAATTTGTTTGATTTGGTTAATTCATTATCATTAAATGAGACATGAGGTTGTGCTATGCTACTGTTTTCAGGCTTTTCAAAATTCGCCTTTTTAGAAGAATTATCACATTCAAGGAGAGCATTTGTTGTACAATGTGGTTCAATTAATTCAATGTGTTCATTATCATTCCCATTGAAGATAATATTCACCTTGGAGTGTTTAAAATGACTGTCAGCAGCACTGGATGTTGTTGTTGTTGGTGTTGTGCCTATAGAAGCCTCATCATTTCTGTGGTCTTCTTCTTCTTCTTCTTCAGTTTTTTTTGTGTGATTAGGAGAATCAGATGAATCAGAAATATCATCACATAAATCGATATATAATGGCTCAATTTGACGACTATTATTATTATTACTATTACAAAACTGTGAATTAGAATCACTTGCTATACTAGTTACCTGTTCTAAATCATCTGATATATCAGGTGTTGGTAGTGATGATGAATTGTTTCGTGTTCTAGGAATTTCTGGTGAATCGTCGTACATGCAATTATTATCATGTATTGTATTATTTGGCGGCGAAGAAGCCTGATTGTGACTAACATGTTCAACAGTTGAATTTTTTTTCGGTGTATCAACTGTAAGATCTAAGCATACAAGTTTTGGAATCTCTGTAACTTGTTCCACTTTATTCTTTTGTATAACTTCATTGTTAATAGAATCCACATTATTATTATTATTTTCAACATTAATTTGTGTAGATAATTTACTTGAACCAACATCACTACTGTTACTACTACTACTAATACTGCTGGTAATATGCGATGTTATTGTCAACGGTTCACCTGGATTGAATACATGTCGACTGTAGCTTATTTCACTGCACTGACTTGTTTTATCCTCTTCCTCCTCGGCAACGTCATCATAATCATCATCAATGTCAACATCTGCATCATCTACACTACAGACATCATTCGTAGTCATTTCAGTTGAATAGGATGTACTACTACTACTACTACAACTGCGACTACAACTGCTGGAATTACTCCCGGTGTCTGATTCACAATCACTAGTGGGATCATCATCAATTGTTGTCAATGTTGTTGTCGTTGTGCTAACGACAGTAGTATCAGTATTACTATTCGTAGTAGTAGTAGTAGTATTAATAACAAAGGTAGTAATATTATTCTCACTAGTTGTCCTACTCCCACATGATGTAAAAGCTTCGTCTGTAAACTCTGAAATTTCAGTTGAACCAGGCGAAACGGCATTTCCATCGACACATTGTTGAGCAGTATCCCCGGGAGCTGTAGTCGCTTCATTTAATATATCATTTAAATCTTCTACTGTCGATTCATAGCCTTCTTTATCTTTTTCAACTGTTTCAATGTAATCCAATTCAGCTTGATATTCATCACCATAATCACACCCTTCCTAATAATAATAATATTAATTATAATAATAATTTAGAAAATAAATATCAGCAATGATGATCAGAATATAGTGTAAGTAAAACAATGATGACCAGAAATATCAGATGTGTGTTCATTTCAACCTCAGAAACGACACTGTCTGTCTGTCTATCTAATTTCGATATAGAACTTTGCACCGATGTGCGGTAGTTCAAGTCACCACACTCCCTCCTTGTAGCATACAAAGCAAGAGAAAAAAGTAGAAGAAATGCATATTAGAGACAGTAAACAGAGGTATGAGACAAAGGAAGAGTAATAACGAAGAACAATTTAGTTTCATTGGGAATCATAAGTCACAAGGAGTGGATGCATCTGGGCCAGCCAGCCATTGAGAACGATTTTAAGCCATATCACCAATTGTTTCCAACCATTGGTTTCTACCGTCCCGAAGGTCCCAACCAGGAAGTCTGCACCTTCCTACGTCGTTGGTTTAAACTAACTGTTGTAGATTCCATTGACTGGTGCCATGTTTTGGTTTGACTGCCGATAGCTCTTTTCCAGCCTGACCCTATATCAGCTAACATTGCTCGTCGAGGAAGGCGATGACTAGACATGCATGTGTAACACATGTCCTAACCACCTCAGTCGATGTAATTTCATAACCTCGTCGATTGATTTCCCTTCTTTATCCAGAACTCGACGCCTAACCTCAATATTGCTCACCTTATTATGCCACTTCACACGGGAGATAGAGCGCAGGCACCTATGATCCAATACAGCTAGCCAGCCAGTCTTTTCATGTCTTCCACCCTCAATGGCCAGGTCTCACAGATGGCCATAAAGGAGGACGGAGCGGACTGATGAGCAGTACACCCGCCCTTTGGTCGATGGCCAGCCGAATATCACGTCTACTCCAGAGACGGTGTATACTGGCATATGCGAAACTAGCCATCTGTATCCGGTACTGAGATTTCGTCAGAGATCAACTCGTTGGGGCTTCCCAAATAAGTGAAGCGGTCAACGTGCTGAGAAATGATACACTGTATGTATTTAATCCAATGACAAACAACAAAATAAAACCCTGAAAATTGAAAATCTGTTTTGACCATTGTTGTTGGAGAGTCGGTGGGGAGGGGTAATGGAAAAACAAGGTATCAATGAACTGCGTTTGATATCTGCAGCACTGCAGCAATAAGCCACAATCTAATGCCCAACAAATTTGCTGAAGGAAATAGAAATGGATCGGATGCACACTAAGGAGACTCTCAGGTGGCATTGCGCAGCCAAGCCCTCTAGTAGAACATGAATCAGAAACGACGAGTTGGGCTTTTGAGGATGACATGGAAGAGATGAGAACTTATGGGCAATGGCGAAGCCAGCTACGAAGATATTAGCGTAAATGATAAAATGGAGATGTGCTACCGGTGCACATCGATGCAAAGTTTTATGTCGAAAACAAACTGTCTTATGTTGAACTCGGAAACTACAGGAATTATATATATATATATATATATATCCAGTACTATTATCTTCACACATCAGTCGATTGGTAATCACAGGACTCAAAAGATGGAAATATATATCTAAAATACGGTTAATCGTTCCAACGAATTTGTGAATCCAGATACAGAAACGTTAACCATTTCTATGGTGTCCTGTAGTTTGCCGTTAAGGTAGAGAATATGCGCAGTCCGCGGATACGATATGAGATGTGCAAATACAAGGATGAGTTGTTTTTTGAGATTAATAAAAACAAATCTAAGAGGATATATGAATGAAAGTTATTCTGTATAATACTTTCTGAACAGAATTATACGTCTATTTGTATATTTGGGAGTTTTCCATATTTTTTCAGGTTTGATCACGACCTGACATTAGTTCGACAACTATCACAAAACCAGGCCATACTGGATAGTTTTTTCGTCCTAATTTGGGACTCTTCAGTTTGCGCCCAGGATCTCCTAGTCGAGTTAGTAGGCCATTCAAAGCAGTTAGGACCCGATCTAATCGTCCATGAATTCAAAATTCTGCCAAATCGATAGAAATAGCGCTATCCCTGACAATGAACTATTGTCTTAGCTAACTTAGTGGACGCGGTCCACTTTTGAGTTAATCCTCCGCATATTCATTCACTTGGTGATATCCGTTTGATAACAGACAACGAGTACGTAGATCTAATAGGTAAAACAATAAGGTACTCATGTCAAAATTTGATAACCTATTCATGGTACTATCCTGCCGCAGAAGTCTTAAAGCTAGGGAACTGATTTTTTACTAGTTCGAAACTTGGTGTTATTTCAAGACAAAATTTGTTTCGAAGAAATTTATTGTACTGGTTTTTTGGAAAGATGAACTTTAAATCCCGTGAGGAAAACACAAACACATACAATCCAATAACAATTGTTTAATTCCTTTGCATTTCGGGTGGAACATAGGACTTTAAGCGGTTAGCCATGAAGTTTCAGTAGCAATAGTGTTGTCCTTATAGACGGTTGGGTTACTAGCCTGACGCCCGATCTTCCCTCTTTGCTGAACTTAGTGTACCAGGTAGGTGAGGTTTTAGAGTGCGTCGGCCAGGGATTGAACGTCAGACCATGTGAGGCGTGTGGGATCAGTGAGCCTTCTACCGTTGGACTACCGAAAATGTCCTATTTATGAATTAATTAATTTAGTAAAGAATGAATTGTAAACAAAAAAAGAAGCGATTGAAAGAGTTATTGTATAGCAAAAAGTAACACTAACTTGAACAGCCATTGTTTCGTCATATATAGCACCAGCATATGTACATATAAATGTGCCCTTTGGAATAGCATTCAAAGCACGAATACCCCAACCCCTTAGAAAATAAAAAAATACACATACATGTGAACGTTGACTATATGAAAGGGTATAAAAGGACAGTATTCGATTTTGATCACTGATAAACTAATTCCAGTCAACACTACGAAACAATGGGGAAATTTAAAAAAAATTACATTAATAAAGAAACGAATAATAATAATAAATAATAGTGCATTACTTGCGACTAGTTTTGAATACTTGTAGCCTAACCCATAATCCTTGTTGAACTACTCGATTACTACATCGACGATCACAACGACAACCGGAATTACATTCATATACTCCACCGACTGTAAACTGTCCCAATCGACGATAACGATAGCCTGCTTGACTGTCAACTGTACCATTTGGATTAGTCAATGAACTGGCCTCAACTGTACGGATAATAGTAATAACAAGTAATAATAAATAATTTATTTTAACTGATAAAACAGTAAAGCATAACAGCATAAACAGCAAAATGATTATCCAAGAGTTATTTTTAATTTCAAGTAGCTTAGTGGATGGTGGGTAACTAGCAGTGGGTTCCAGGATGACGCCCACTACGTCCTGTTTGGGACTGATCAGCTGAATGAATCTGCAATCAGCTCCAGGTGAGTGTTGGTGTGTTCGAACTGAAACTCGAACCCAGTACACTCCGTTTTGAAACGCCAAAGCATCATCCACTAGACTACTTGAGTTAGGAGAGCCAAGAGGTGTTTGAAACACAAAGGGTATTTCGTTCAATCTTCAATAAGAACACACCATCACTTATTAGAGATTCGCTTGCACATACATCCATCTGACCAATTCCAAATAGGACGGAATGAACATTCTGGATTCCAAAACTAGTCGCTATCTACCAAACTACTTTATGTTAATCCTTAGATATCACCCAATCGTCCGTAGTACTAGGAGCCAACACCTCAGGAGTTGTCGAACATTTCATGAAAATCAAAACTTAAAATCAAAAAGAATTAAAACAAATAAAAAGTTAGAGTGATCAAAAGTGAACACATTATATTATCATTACTATTATTTCCTTTAATTCCTAGAGGAACATAGGGATTCAGCCGAACGTCTCCATAGCCTTCTGTTTTATGCCAACGTTTTCACCCCGCTCCAAGTCTCCCCACATGCTTTCATCTCCTCTTCACATGGCCTCCTCCAAGTCACCCTTGAACTGACGACCGACTCGCCGATTCCCTTTCGGGTTCCACTCGAGCAATGGCTTGTCTAGTGATGTCACTTGATGGTTTTCTCAGCGTATGGCTAATCCACCTCCATTTCTTCCTACCTTTTGTTTCACAATCGGTTCCTGTTTGGTTCGCTCATTGCCAGAGATCCCTGTTGCTGATCAACTCTGGCCGGCCATCTGATCTTGAGTATTGAGCGAAGACAACTGTTAATGAAGGTCTGAAGTTTGTTTGAGATACTCTTTATGATGCGCTGACCAAGTCTCTGATCCATGTAGTAAGTAGCACTGACTTCACATTGGAGTTGAAAATCCGGATCTTATTTTTGATGCTGAGTGCTGTTGACCTCCACACAGACTTAAGAGTAATGAAAGCTTGTCTTGCTTTCCCAATCCTTGCTTTGGTATCCTCTCCAGTTCAAAAGTGCACAAATACACTAAATACAATGCTACGCAGCATTGAATTGGAAATTGAAGAACCAACATTCAATAATAATTATTTTTCAATGAAATTCAATTTAAATAAACAAACTCACTAGTCAATTGTTGGCATGCACACTTATTTCGATCGCGACAGTTATCTGTACAATCACAACAGACAAGAAATTTAGAATCTTTAAGCAAAGGAACATTGCCAATCGGTTGTCTGTTAGGCGTATAATCAATATATCCAGGAACTTCATTATCTACACTATTTACACAAGGAACTGGAACATTCTCTTTACCATATGATAAGTCAGCAATATGCGTAAGTGTCTGTAAATGAAGTAATAGAAGCATTAAGTTAAACAAAAATGATATTAGAAGAAAGTACCGATTGATTATAGACTGATTACACGTTTAGAAAATGAAGCTTTTCAACATTAACATTGTGTAAAGTAATTCAACCGAATGAAATAGCAAAACAAATACGAATTAGTCATTGATACAATATTTAACAGAAATAAAAAAACACTGCATTGCTTGTTCAAATATGTAAAATGTATGATAAAATTGGAAGTTTTCCACACAAACATTGTGTGACGACGCAGTTGAATCAGACCAAACAATATATGAATAAATATGAATTTAATGTTGATACCATTTAACACTAACGATTTGACTTAGTTGTGATAAAGCTTTAGGAGAGTTCATTTCTTGCATGATTCGTCATAGAAATATTCTTTCTTTCTGTATCTAAATGACATTAAATACGAATATTCAAAATTTAGATGTCACGAGGTTCTGCAGAAGGTAAACATTAGTGATTAGATGTAAATCAGCTAGTAGAATAATTGTATACTGCCAGGATAATGCTATTTAATAGCTTTACAATCAACTGTTACGACGGACAAGCTTCTTCATTATCTGTGACGTCGTGGTACATGCATGCACTGATACGATAACCTTATTGGACAGTTTTGATTCGTTTATATTTCTGTTTTAATTTTCTGAGGTGTGTCAACCAATCAGATTCGTCTTTTTACGACTTACATTTCTGAGGGTTTTTTAAATATAATATTAAGCAATATATTTCGTCCATTAAATATTGTTATTATCGTTGCCATTCCGGTCGACATTTTTCCCAATCCGACTTCTGCATCTGTCTCACAGTGTGGGAAATATTTTCAAGCCATCAGTTTGGTTATATAGAGTGTCGTGTTCTGGAAGTGTATTCTAGTCAAGTTAGACGACCACAAAACACAGCATCACCGCGTCCATACCATTTACGAACCACTTTTCAGTTGAACAATTAAAATTGGTGCAAAGCTCACGGTTGTCACTTTCATTAGATGGCAACAGCGAAAAAGACTTTTTTCCCTCTCTCAGAATCAGGGTAAATTTGAGAGAATTTAGTAGTTATCCATAAACCTTAAAATATTGTTATAATAGATACAAACAGCTTCCACTATGAACAATAAAGTGGAAGATTCTATCACATCTGTTCCATTAGGTGAATTTTTCCGCGGAAAACAAAAACCATAAAAAATTAAACAGTTACATAAGCAAACTTCTTCTTGTTGAATTCCTTTACGTTTCCAGTGGAACATAGGGCTTCAAGCTAGAGGCTTGAAGTTTTTGTGGCAGTGGTGATTATTTTTACGGGATGGCGATGTTAGCCTTACACCTGACCTCCCATTTTTATCAGTCTTATTAATGGCATAGCGAAGTAAAGGGGTGCGTCGGCCAAGAATCGAACCCCGGACTACCTGTGTGGTCGGCTAGCATTCTACTGCTGTACCACCGACGCACAACTTCATCTTAGGCAAAATTATAAGCCAAGCATGGAAATTTCCGATAGTTGGTTACTACCAGACGTAGTTGAAGGTTAGAGATGAGAGAACATTAGTTATATATGACGATTATTGTCATCAAACCACCTGTCATACTTACTGATTATAGTTCGAGAGAAATAAGAGTTAAGAAGAGGGTATTAGGTGAAAAATTTTCAATAACTTGGTGAGTTAACTAACACCTTGTATGCGCATGTTTAAAAGATATTCCACTGAAAATTAACATTAGGTGGAGACGAGAAAGTAAAGAAAGCACTTCTGACAGTTCGTTATTCAAAAAAACTACTTAGAAGCATAGAGAGACTCTTAATTTGCATGGAATTCAGTAGTGGATTCAATGGAAATCAGTCTGTTTGTCATTTCACTTTCTGAATTCAAATTTCTATCTGCAGAGCTGGACTTGATATGCAATGCCGTTTATGTTCACTACCTGAACCAGAAATATTTACCATAATACTGGTGAAAGTTACCATTATTCAAGTTAAAGAATAACACAATACATGAATCTTGAGGAAGGAGGAAGTGTTTACTCATCCCCACATTCATAGACATACCTTTTCTGCACGAAATTCTTGATTGATTACCACGGTGTTATCGAATGAGAATAGATCAGCTGTTAATTGACTATTAGTCCAATCCAGAAATCGTTCCACTTCATGCATAGATCTTAAACGACGACCACATGGTGCACTATAAAAAATACTACACTTGTTGTCCATTGATGGTTCATATGTTGCTAAATACCTAAATTATTAGAGAAAATCAGATAAACAGCCAAAAGAAATGAAAAAGAATAATTAATAATGAAAGGTATTTAAAAAAAATGAGTGCGTAACATTGGTTATGCGGATGATATTGTCCTCCAATATGAAAAAGTTGATTAAATGCAAAGTCTTATGAACACCTTGAGCAAAAATCAACACATGTTTCACATGCAATTTGATTCCGTCAAATGTACGATGATGATGCTTTAGGACTGGACTGGATTGACCCCCAAGCATCAAAATAAGAAGTGAAGTGGTAGAGCGAAGTGACGACTTCACTAATTTGGAAAGTTGCATCAGCCAAAATGGACTGATTGTTGACGAAATTTCATCCCATGAACAAAAGACTTGGATGGCATTTGACAAATCACATCATCCCTGGAGTAGACCTGATATCCGGTTATCCAACTCAAAAGACGTGTACACTACGCGCCAATTCTCTCTGTCCTCCTTTATGTCTATGGGTAATAGGGATTGGAAGTAGAAGATATGAAAAGACTAACTGTATCTGATCTTAGGTATCTGCAGCATATTTCCTGTGTTAAATGGTATAGTATGGTAAGTAATAGTCTTACTAAGTCAAGAGTGTTACTTAAGGAGTGTAAGTCAATCGATGAGATTCTGAAGCTACATCAATTGAGACGGCTAATACATGTGCTATCCAGCCCAAATCACCGTCTCTCTCGACGAGCAATGTTGGCTGACAGAGTTTGGCTGGAAAAGAGTTACAGGAAGTTGAACAAAAACTTGAAATCCATCCATGAAGTGTTTGACAGTTGGTTTTGAGCCAAACAGCAAAGTTGTAGACTGCTTGGTTCGGGGTCCTCGGGATTTTAACAACCAACAGCTTCAGACTGTCGATGAAATAATCGCTCATAATGGATCAGATGAATTCATGCTTCATGGTCTGTCGTATCTAAACGCTAATGCTTTTCCAAGTTAAATTTTTTCTTCCTCACTTTCTGCTCATTATAGTATATATATATATACTCTGGTTAAGGTTAGGCGTCAAGTGCTAGATGACGAGGTTATGAAATTACATCGACTGAGATGGTTAGGACATGTGTTACACACGCATGTCTATTCATCGAGCAATGTTAGCTGGCATAGGGTCAGGTTGGAAAAGAGCTATCGGCAGTCAAACCAAAACATGGCACCAGTCAATGAAATCTACAACAGTTAGTTTAAGCCAATGACGTAGGAAGGTGTAGACTTCCTGATTGGTTGGGGTCCTCGGGACGGTAAAAACCAATGGTTGGAAACAATTGGTGATATGGCTCAAAATCATTCTCAATGGCTGGCTGGCCCAGATGCATCCACTCCTTGTGACTTATGATTCCCAATGAAACTAAATTGTTCTTCGTTATAACTATTCCTTTGTCTCACACCTCTGTTTACTGTCTCTAATATGCATTTCTTCTACTTTTTTCTGTTTCTTTGTATGCTACATGAAGGGAGTGTGGTGACTTGAACTGCTGTACATCGGTGCAAAGTTCTTTGTCGGAAACAGACAGACAGACAGATATACTCTGGTTAAAAGCCCTAAGGCAGTAGGAGTTGGAAGAACTCTCTTATCAAAATTCACTTATTTGAACAAAGATACTTTACCTCATACCCTAAAATCTGAGTTTTTTAAAAGCCATTCATAATTCATACTATTTCATGTAGAAAACACAGTTAGTCATCCAGTCACCGAAGGTAAACAACCTTGGGAGTGATTAGTAGGGTGCAGCAGGTCTGGTGTGAGGTCAAATAGTCGCCGAAGACATTGGCTAGCGGTCACACTATGTTGTGAATTGGTAGAAGTTAGAATTCATGGGCCATTGGATCGGGTCCTAGTGGCTTAGTGGTATACGAGCTTGCCTTGTGACCAGAAGGTCCTGGTACTGCTGGAGAGTACCAAAACAGGTTTTCCAATGGTTCTCTAACCGATGTCAGCTCATGATGAAGTCCTGTAACCAACCTTGGAAGTAAACCTGTTAAGAACTCACCGTGTAACACATATTCAGAATGAGATGGAGAGGGATTAAATATACGCTGAGGACACTTTTGAGTGACATCAGACTCCATAAGTACTTGAGTGTAACCCAAACAGGAAACGATAGTGATATGGTGAAGAACGTGTACGAAGACGGCATTCATGGAGTCAGCTAAAAATGGTGACCGGGGACAAAAATAAGTGAAGATGTCTTCAGGAATATTTGGATAGCACGCATCTATTACTGCTGCAGATTTGAAACTTCTATATCAGTTTATATAAATCTTGATCAATATTGAACCTAAGTGGTTGACGAAGTCAAAAACGTCGTATGAAAAGCATTCACATTTAAAAGTCTCTTTTATAAAAAAAGATGACCCTCAGAGTAATTGAAATAAGTAATTCCAACATTTGGTTCAACAGTTTGGTCAGATCATCCTTCAGGGTTCTCATCCAATAGATTTATTCAACTGTATACTTACCTTAACCATCCACAGTGGAAAGGAATTTCCAGTGGATTAAGACCTTTATAATCTAATGGATTCTCTGAGCATAGAATAGGCGATTCAGAAGTTGGTGATTTTCGATAACTTTTCAGACAATGATTGCCACATTTATGAGGTACTGTGAAAAGAGAAGTTTAAAAGAACTACTTTATAAAAATAGATAATATATATATTTTTAAATACTGAGGAGAAAAGAGGGCATTAGATGATAAAACATGACTATTGTAGACTGGAGCATCTCAAACAAACTACAGACCTTCATTAACAGTTGTCTTCGCTCAATACTCAAGATCAGATGGCCGGCCAGAAAAGATCAGCAACAGGGATCTCTGGCAATGAGTGAACCAAACAGGAACCGATTGTGAAACAAAAGGTAGGAAGAAATGGAGGTGGATTAGCCATACGCTGAGAAAACCATCAAGTGACATCACTAGACAAGCCATTGCTCGAGTGGAACCCGAAAGGGAATCGGCGAGTCGGTCGTCAGTGCAAGGGTGACTTGGAGGAGGCCATGTGAAGAGGAGATGAAAGCATGCGGGGAGACTTGGAGCGGGGTGAAAACGTTGGCATGAAACAGAAGGCTGTGGAGACATTCGGCTGAATCCCTATGTTCCTCTAGGAATTAAAGGACATAATATAATAATAATAATATAGACTGACCCTAAACTTTATCTAGTATGCATGTGGGAGTGGATGGGTGGTTAAGGGAAAGGCAGTCTTTAACACCTAATGTTTTCTGAATGTAACATTAATCTGTTAGGTCAGAAGGAACGATTTTATGAGTCAGTGTTTACGTTATGACCTGTAAACTGTACATTGACCTTAACTTAGGCTAAGCGTCGGACTCAGTGGATTTTTGTTGGTACATGCTAACCAGAACACACATAGTTTTGATACTTTCAAGTAGTAATGGTGTATTGGTTATGCAAAGTAACTAAAGAAATAGCTGTAATTTCTCAATAATGGATAAAATTTTATTTTGATAAAGACATACAAAGTTATGCAGTAATATTTACTGATGACTACATTTGAATAGAATCAATATAAGATTTTTAAAAAATACACTCGGAAATAATATTAATATTACCAATAAAATACATTATGATGTGAAATAACACGGGTGTTATCAGTCAATCAGATGGGAAACAAGATGTTTTTATAGTAAAATAAATAGATAACTTGTTAGAATGTTATAATGTGAATTGAATACATTTTAACATTATTTATTATCCTCTGGTTTGACTGGTAATAATATCTTCCTTATTTCCGGTATGAGTGATGAGTCATTCCTGTTGCATGTGTTAGGTGCAGACTCGATGAACAAAGATTCAGTAATCAATCTCTCTCTCCACCTGCCTATTATTACTTTTTAGAATTTTGTCTCTATCCCATCCTATATAATTTACAAAATATTTTGCAATGACTGTAAGTTAGGTCAACTATATAGGGTCGAACTAGTAGATCGTGAATAGTGATTGAATGGTTGACCCCGAGAAGATAAGTAATTTAGAAAAAAGCTCAGCTATATCACTGCATGCATTAACACACAATCACACACTAGGGTGGGACAGAGTCAAAATTATAAGAAACACCACACATGCAATAGAAGTGACTCAAAGCAAATACCAGAGATATGGAAGATATGATATATGTATTGATACATGATATATGTATTTGCACACATTAGCTTGTTAAGCTCGAACTCAACCACTTCAAAATGTCAAAATTTCATTCCATTTTTATGACTTAACTCAATCATTGCATTATTTATGTTTCCTTACTAATCCTTAATATCTTTGTGTCCTTGACCTCATTCACTTCAGTTGAATGAATTTTCAGGTGACTATGTAGATGTCTCCAGTTCTGTGTGAATTACCCTGAAATTCCAGAGCATTCTCTGTCCAATAGATAATAATCCTACTTTGGTTATATCTAATTATTTTGACTTCTTGTGTAAGGCTTGTACTTTTTTTCCATTTTTGTCATGTTATTCTACCCTTATACACTGGACTGGTTATTCACAGTTATAAAATATATTCAAATGATTTCATATTCATTGGCTTATCTAGTTTATTATTCAAGTCGTATGCAGCTGACGGAGATCCTATCCTGCGAAAGTTGTTTGTTTGTATTGCTATAAGTATAAAACTTGGGCAATGTGGTAGAGTATAAGTCCATTATGGATAAGATTTTATTTTGATAAATCACACAGTGTTGTACAGTAATATTAACTGATGAAGTTTCGAGTACAAACTACTGCTCAAGTTACTTACAGCTGTTTTTCTTCGTTTATATACATATGTGGGATCGATCAGATATTGGATTAAAGATCAATATGAGATAATGTACATTCAGAAATAATAATACGAGTGTTATTGATCAATTATAATCAGATGGAAAATAAGACAAGCGTTTTAATAGTCATAATGAGTAACTTGTTAGAATGTTGTGATGTGCTTGAATTGAAATCGAACTTTGAGATTATTTATTATCCTCCTATGATTTGACTGACTGGTGGTAATAATGTCTTCCATATTTCTGGTATTTGCATTGAGTTATTTCTGTTGAATGTGTGGTGTGTAGACTCGATGAACCAAGATTCAGTAATCAATCTCTTTTTCCACCTACCAAATTTTGACTCTGTCCCACCCTAGTGTGTGATTGTGTGTTAATGCATGCAGTGATATAGCTGAGCTTTTTTCTAAATTACTTATCTTCTCGGGGTCAACCATTCTCTTACCTTAGCTAAATTCTTATGTTCTGTTAATCTGACTATCCCTGACCTACTAGTTTGACCTATGTAGTTGACCTCACAGTTATTGCAGGGTATTTTGTAAATTATAATATTTTGTCTAATTGGGTCATTTAACCTGCAGAGCTTGTTTTACCTGAGTGAGTTTGTAGGTTTGAGTGCCACCCTAATTCCTGCTTTATTAAGAATCCTACATAGGGACTCAGATGTCCCCTCCTTATATGGTATAACAGCGGATGACTTATATTCTCTCTCATTTATGTTATCATTACTAGTTCCACAATTATTTTTATTTTGTTTTTAACCTTTACTGATCTTCCTAACGAATTTTATAGGATAATTATTCAACATCAACGCTTCATCTATCTGTTTTATTTCATCATTTAGGTCTTTGCTACTTAGTGCTACTGCTCGGTTTTTTAAACACTTACCTAAGCCTGCCTTTACAGATAACGACGGATGAGATGAATTAAAGTCTAAATATGTATCAGAATGCGTTGGCTTTGCTTTTTATAAACGCTAGTATGCAGTTTACCTTCTATTCATTTTATTTTACAATCTAACATCACAGCTACTTCTCCTTGTTCATTTTCTGATTCAAATGTGAATTTTATTCCCTCTACTAGTGAGTTTATGTATGTCAAGAAGCTAGAGATATGTTCTGTTTTCAACACTATGAAAGTATCATCCACATATATCCACCATATTTTTGGAGTAGGATTAAATGTACTGAGAGCACTATTTTCCAAGCTGTCCATAAATATGTCTGCTACGATAGGGGATATTGGTGATCCCATTGATACATCTTCCATAATGGAGTTATTGTTTGTATTGCATTATACAAGTTATACAAAATTGCAAAGAAAAAATGATCACAATTCAATACAATATGGTTCATTCTGTTTTTGATGACTACTATTCATGACTGAGATATGATTAGACAAGAATTTCAGTGACAAGATTTGTCCTTTTTTCTTAAATATGTGACTTTGATATTCTAATTTTGATTATTCCCCCTGAAGAAATTCTGACCAGTAGTTTGCTGAACAAAACATCAGAATTATTTTTTTCAATTCAGCTGAGATTGATGCAAAAATATATTTTTCTAAAGTACAATTACTGTTATTATTTGCGTAAAACACCAGAACTGTCGTAGTGAGTCATTCCATATTAGTGTTTATTGGATATATCACACACAGTGACACATTGTTAGTATTCACTGGATTACAAGGTTTCGAACACAGTTTATTATTGTTCATAATCATATCAATCAATTATAATCACACGACTTCGAGACTTGAGTTTTATAGTTTTCTTTATTCTTTCCTACTTGTCGTCGTAGGGGCAGTTAAATTTCCCAGATATCTGGGACAGGTGCTGAGTCATTCCTATTATCCAGTAAATAATACTGTTTCACTGAATGTGTGATATATCTAATAAACAAAATAATATGGAATTAATTACTACCACAGGACCCAAGTTCTACACATACATTAATATGAATTATAGTCTTATTGTATGAAGACTTATCAATAAACTCACTCGACTTTCGCAAACTGGAGCAAGACATGCAAATCATCGTATTTTCAACATTCGATGCTTTAAAATTGAAATCATTCCTAAATGCCCACATCTACGAGCTCCAGTTTCGACAGACAAAGTGAAAAACAGAATTAAAAAGTCTACAAAAATTATGCCTAAAAGAAGAGATCCACAGAATTGTTCAAAAGTTGCACCGTGTCAGAAATGAAATCGAGCAGTTATAGCAAAAGCTAATGCGAATAGTTACTAATGTGGATTACACTCTTATAGTATAGTCCTCTACCAACGCCAAATCAACAGCTTTAAAAAGTCAAAGAATACTCAAATCAAAAAGTCCAATAAATTATTAGAGGAGAAACTATCGTCTGAGAACGATGAAATCATGAATCTAAAGTCAACGACGGCCGAGAAAACAAAGTAGGTTATCAATCTTTCAACACATGTGTTAAATCCCAGAGAAATAATTTTGCTAGAAAAAAGACTAAATTTCAATGTAGCTGTAGACAGGCTGAAACCTAAGAAAGTCATCCGTAAAATAGAAATAGCACTAAGTGGGATAGACAAAACAACGGCTGATGAAGTACGGGCACAATGTGCAATAACATTAAAACGACAAAATGAGGAAAGCCTAACCTGACAAAACCTAAGATGGAAGCCCTAAAACATCTTAAGAATAACAAGGATACAGTAATCATATAATGCAACAGTAATATTAGACAAATCAGACTATTTGGACAAGGTGAATACTCACACACAGAAATTGGACCATATGAGGAAATTAGTAAATCAATAGACACCGTTATGAAAAAGGTCAAAATAGTAGAACGGGGTCAGTCAGACTAGAGGAGCATATAAACCTAGTAAAATGTAGATTAGTTGACCCGAATAAGATAAGAAGTCTAGAAAATAGTTCATCTATACCACTCACTATATGCTAATACATGCAACCATACAATAGAATGATGGTATAAGATGACAGTTTTAAAATCTAATGACTGATAACGGAAGCTTTGTTTATCGAATCAACAGCAAACGTGTAACAGGAATGATTCAACACCTATCCTAGATGTCTGGAAAGTTTTACTACCCCAGCGACGACAAATAGGAGAGAACAAAGATAGTTACAAGAGCAGTCTGAAGAATATCAGGTGAAACTGAGTTAAGTACTTATGAATAAAAATTATCTTTCTAATCATCCAGTTATTTCCATACTGGGGGAAAAAATTGACTCTCCTTTAAAGTCAACAAGGGAATTTATTTGCGATGCAAATGCAAAAATGTTATACTTTGGATTCACGATTTGATTAGGATGTAGAGGGTAGGATAACAACTAAATCAAGTGTGATACATTCATTTTAGGTTTTTGCTTAGAGTGGGAAATATGATAAAAGCTTACACAGATAATGTACAACTTCTAATATATATATTGATGATACCACCACCGGTTGTAAACTGCAAATTTAATAAGTCGACATTTTAAGATGAAGAATATTGGTTTCGTTAATTAATTCCAATTGGTTTTGAGCTATGACGTCTCATCAGCAGTGGTGTCTACTCTTTTTCAGGGTGAAGTTGCTAAATTCACACCCAGTCTTACCTCTTTACTGGGTTTATTTACCTGCTAAGCAAAGTTTAGGAGTACGTCGGCCGGGGAGTCAGACTTTGAACTACACGGGTGTTTGATGAGGATTCTACCACAACCACCGACGTATGCATCAGGATAATTTTTTATGCATAAAACGATTGGGTTAAATATCTCATAATACTGTTTAATGGTGTTTAACAACAATGGGATCAGAATCTCATGATTTGTTTCGCTTGAGACTAATTATTAGAATGTATGAACTATAACTTATCTACTAAAACTAGTCAGTTACAGTTTATCACTTCATGTTCAGCGATCAATGATGCTTGTTAGTGAATCATAATGAAAATTAGTCATCGTCATTCCTTTGAATTCTATCCGGAACTTGGAACATCAAGTCTCAGCTCAGAAGTTTCACTATGCATGAAGTTGATAGTCGCCATAATGACTAAACTTACTGTTGGCTACGTAAGGTCTATGAGTGAGTCAGCCGAGAGTCGAACCTTGGATTATATAAGTAGTGGATAGAATTCTATCATTTCACCACCGCTGCGTGACAGCTACTGCAAAACTATAAATACATGAAGAATACTGGCGATACAAATAACAATAGCTTACCAAAAGACTCATAATTAAATTCTTTAAAAAGATTATCCAGATACGATACTTTACTACCAGCTGACTCTAATTCAGACATACTAATCAATGGATCTACATCAACATGCTGGCGACTATTCATACTTTCCACCGGTGGTTTATTATTTGTACACGTAGAATTTAAACTACGTACAGCGCAATTCGATGTATTTGCATTTTGATTGCCAGTAGCCGATTTACGAGCTTTACGACGTTTAGCACTTGCGTCCAATGCTTGAAAAGAGAAAGAAACAAAAGTTTAATTTAAAAGTATTTATACATATATAAGCATTTAATTTAAGAACAGTATTATTCTGGATTATTATGATTACTCATGCATAATCCTCATCCAGGCTTTAATGAAAACAAAACACGTAGTTCAGCGAAGAGTCTCTTTTCGACAGCAAATTCATTTTCTTAGCAGTACAATCGCAAATATATATGTGTGTTATTTTGTATGTAAGTGTACGGTTAAGTTTGTCAAACAAAAATACAATTGGTTATAGTTATTTTAAGTAAACAGGTCCACTACTATCAGACTGCTTCGTGGCAAGCCTCGAGAGAGGTACACTAAAGCCGAGCATTGACAATTTGTGACTGTACAAAAGATACGTAGACGACATATTCATTATTTGTGACAACAACAATGACCGCAATCTACTGCTGAAGACATTTAACTGTTGCCATCCAGCAATAAAATTCACTCTTGAAATGGAAAACGAGTCGAAAATTCTGTTTCCTGATGTAAAACTAAAAGAACTGATGGGAGCCTAAGAAGATCGACCCATAGAAAACCTACTAACAAGCTTCTATTGCTGGGTACCCATTCAACAAAAGCGAAATCACTTGCCACGCGCATCCGACGAATCTGTAGTCCCGACGTTCTGGAAACAGAATTATATATTCTAAGAGAAATCTTCATCCAGAATGGATACCCAATAAGATTCATCGACAAAAATATGAAACCAATAATTCGGAGAAACGAAACTTTAGTTGCGCCTAAAAAGAAACTCAACATGAGATCGGATTTTAAGGGAGATTCAAAAAGTGATATTCTCAAGAGAAGGATCACATCATCTCTGAGAAGAACATTCTTTGCAGCAACGCTAAGAATAGTATTCTCCCAGTCACCCACTGATTTACAGAAGCCTCAAGGACAAGATCCCGCATCTGACCACTTCTATGTGGATATATCAGTTCACCTGCTGCTGTGGAACCATGTACAACGGTCGTTCGACGCGCATCCTGTTCAAGACGATTCAAGAACACTATCCAGAATGGTTGCGTAAAGGGAATTAGTGGTATTATAAGGAGTGAGATAATTGAACACCTGGTTAACACACTGATCATTCCATCTCAACAAACGCCTCCTTCAAAGTAATCTACAGAGTCAAGAATAACCTACCAAAAGCAATACGGTTTCGTCTTCTTTGTATCGCTGAAGCTCTTGCCATTCACATAGAAAAATCGGAGCTGTGCATACAAAAGAAGATTACTCAACCACTTCTACTTTCATGATAACATTTTTGATTTGGTTTTTTAATTTTGATGACTTAATTTTGTTTCTTTGCCTGTTCTTTAATTGCTTATAATTCTTGTATTCATCTAGAACTCTTACGTAATTTCGTATTATCTACTTTGTTCCAATGTGCATCCTGAGTAAACCTCACTCATCAAACTATTCATATTATTATTACATAACTTCTTTTAACAACTGTTTGTGACAACTCATCACCTTTTTTACTATCCTAATTTTATTAATACCTAATTTTCTTAACTGATTTTGTATCACGTAATTCCAATTACCAATCTTCACCTGTTTAGTCAAAATAACTATAACCAATTGTATTTTTGTTTGACAAACTTAATGTACACATACATACAAAATAACATTTTGATAAATCGCACAGTGTTTACAGTTATATGAACTGATGACGTTTCGAGCACAAACTATTGCTCATAATCATATCAAGTTACTCACACAACTTTGATCTCTCATTTATATACATATGTGGAATGGATTAGATATTGGATTAAAAATCAATGTGAGATAATGTACATTCAGAAATAATCGTACGAGTGTTGTTGATCAATTGCAATTAGATGGGAAAATTGGACGAGTGTTTTTACAGTCATAATAAGCTGCTTGTTAGAATGTGTTTGAATTGAAATAGAATTTTAAGATTATTTATTATCTTCTTCTGGTTTGACTGATGGCATTAATACGAGTGTTATTGATCTACTATAATCAGATGGAAGATACGACGAGTGTTTTAATAGTCATAATGAGTAACTTGTTAGAATGTTGTGATGTGCTTGAATTGAAATCGAACTTTGAGATTATTTATTATCCTCCTATGATTTGACTGACTGGTGGTAATAATGTCTTCCATATCTCTGGTATTTGCATTGAGTCATTTTTGTTGCATGTGTTGGGTGTGGACTCGATAAATAAGGATTCCGTAATCAACCTCTCTCTCCACTTAGCTATATTACTTTTTAGAATTTCAACCCTATCCCACCCTATTGTGTGGTTGTTTGTTATTGCATGAAGTGCAATAGCTGAGCTTTTTTCTAAATTACTTATCTTCTCGGGGTCAACCATTCTCTTACCTTAGCTAAATTCTTATGTTCTGTTAATCTGACTATCCCTGACCTACTAGTTTGACCTATGTAGTTGACTTAGCTCACAGTCATTGCAGGGTATTTTGTAAATTATAATATTTTGTCTAATTGGGTCATTTAACCTGCAGAGCTTGTCTTACCTAAGTGAGTTTGTAGGTTTGAGTGCCACCCTAATTCCTCCTTTATTAAGAATTCTACGTAGGGTCTCAGATGTCCCCTCCTTATATGGTATAACAGCGGATGACTTATATTCTCTCTCATTTATGTTATCATTACTAGTTCCACAATTATTTTTATTTTGTTTTTAACCTTTACTGATCTTCCTGACGAATTTTATAGGATAATTATTCAACATCAACGCTTCATCTATCTGTTTTATTTCATCATTTAGGTCTTTGCTACTTAGTGCTACTGCTCGGTTTTTTAAACACTTACCTAAGCCTGCCTTTACAGATAACGACGGATGAGATGAATTAAAGTCTAAATATGTATCAGAATGCGTTGGCTTTGCTTTTTATAAACGCTAGTATGCAGTTTACCTTCTATTCATTTTATTTTACAATCTAACATCACAGCTACTTCTCCTTGTTCATTTTCTGATTCAAATGTGAATTTTATTCCCTCTACTAGTGAGTTTATGTATGTCAAGAAGCTAGAGATATGTTCTGTTTTCAACACTATGAAAGTATCATCCACATATATCCACCATATTTTTGGAGTAGGATTAAATGTACTGAGAGCACTATTTTCCAAGCTGTCCATAAATATGTCTGCTACGATAGGGGATATTGGTGATCCCATTGATACATCTTCCATAATGGAGTTATTGTTTGTATTGCATTATACAAGTTATACAAAATTGCAAAGAAAAAATGATCACAGTTCAATACAATATGGTTCATTCTGTTTTTGATGACTACTATTCATGACTGAGATATGATTAGACAAGAATTTCAGTGACAAGATTTGTCCTTTTTTCTTAAATATGTGACTTTGATATTCTAATTTTGATTATTCCCCCTGAAGAAATTCTGACCAGTAGTTTGCTGAACAAAACATCAGAATTATTTTTTCAATTCAGCTGAGATTGATGCAAAACTATATTTTTCTAAAGTACAATTACTGTTATTATTTGCGTAAAACACCAGAACTGTCGTAGTGAGTCATTCCATATTAGTGTTTATTGGATATATCACACACAGTGACACATTGTTAGTATTCACTGGATTACAAGGTTTCGAACACAGTTTATTATTGTTCATAATCATATCAATCAATTATAATCACACGACTTCGAGACTTGAGTTTTATAGTTTTCTTTATTCTTTCCTACTTGTCGTCGTAGGGGCAGTTAAATTTCCCAGATATCTGGGACAGGTGCTGAGTCATTCCTATTATCCAGTAAATAATACTGTTTCACTGAATGTGTGATATATCTAATAAACAAAATAATATGGAATTAATTACTACCACAGGACCCAAGTTCTACACATACATTAATATGAATTATAGTCTTATTGTATGAAGACTTATCAATAAACTCACTCGACTTTCGCAAACTGGAGCAAGACATGCAAATCATCGTATTTTCAACATTCGATGCTTTAAAATTGAAATCATTCCTAAATGCCCACATCTACGAGCTCCAGTTTCGACAGACAAAGTGAAAAACAGAATTAAAAAGTCTACAAAAATTATGCCTAAAAGAAGAGATCCACAGAATTGTTCAAAAGTTGCACCGTGTCAGAAATGAAATCGAGCAGTTATAGCAAAAGCTAATGCGAATAGTTACTAATGTGGATTACACTCTTATAGTATAGTCCTCTACCAACGCCAAATCAACAGCTAAGACGTAAATCAACAGTATAAGACGTATTAGTTTAAGCAACAGACTTAACTGACCGATTTCAACATATAATTTTCCAAAGAAGTGTACCATTTCAATACTTCAAGTACCAGAAAAGAGATGCCAAAAGGGAGGGAGAAAAAGTTATCAAACATTACGGTAATAAACAGAAATGTAAGCGAGAAGGAATGGTAACATGGAATAACATGATAGGTCGGTATATATATACTGCTATCAATACTAAATTATAAGACTTTAGAGTAAAAGAAGGTAAACTTACAGACATCTGCAGTGTTATATTCAACTTCAACGCTTTGATTATGAGCTGGTAGTGCTTCATTTTGACTAGAAAGCTGAAAATGGAAAATTGAACTACTTACAGATTATGTGTTGAGGTAAAACACACACATACACACACAAAACTTGAAGCCAAGTGTTTAAACCAAGTTGATTACTTGAAAGTGGATTGTTTCGATGTTACGACATATCAACTGGCTGACTACTACTCAGACGACTCAAAACAAGAAAAATACAAATAATTCGAGATGTTTAGTTTCATAGTTAACCTCTTACCAATATCAGTTAGTCAAAAGTTGACTTAGTCATGGTATGCAAAAGTAATAATATAGGAAACGAATCACTTCATTTAATTTCATACGGTTTTCTTACAAATTTTCTCTTTCTCTTCTTTTCTTTTCATTCCTGGCTTTCTCAGAGGAGGAGCATAGTGCATCAAGCTGTAAGGCTTCAGTAGCAATAGTGTTGTTTTTATTACTGAATAATGGGTTACTAGCCTCACACACCTGCACCTTTCCCTCTTCTCTAGGACTAGTAAACAAGGCGAGGTTAAAGATAGCATTGACAAGGAATCGAACCGGGACCTCCTGCATGCCTGGCGAGCATTCTATCATTGGACGACTGATGAACCAAAAGAACTAAAGATAAAAAACACCCCTGATCCCACCGGGGATAGAATCTTTCGTACCTTTAGGTTACGCGACGAGCCCGTTAAAACTACTATTCAGTCAACGAGGCAAACCTTGAACGTTTTCACAGACGAATTAAACACCAAAGATGTTGAAACTAAAATTTTACTGCTGAATACTATAATGTGTTTAAACAGGGAATTTATGAATTCAGTTGTATTTGTGGTTGCTCTAAGAACTTAATTTTTCGTCCTCAAGAACATCTACTAGTGTCGCTAATTAAAGGTGTGATTAAAACCATGAACAGTCTGATGTTAGGTCACCTCATCCAAACAGGCCATTGAAAAGTCTTTCTCTATCCCTTATCAGGTAAACAATAAAATACCAAACGTCTCTAGATACCGAACATTCCAAGGAGCAGTGGTCATTGCAATTCGCTTAAATCAACCGGGGCTTTGTGTGCAGAACAAACAGGTTCGTTCAGCCATTAATGCTACCTTGATCTGCTCTGAAACCTTTAAATTCATAAACTCTGTATCATTAATTCTCTTAATTTATCCCATATTTAGTTTTTTTTTTATTTACAGCTTGATTTCACACTGTATTTTTGGTACAAGTATGGAATTTTCAGCATAGATATCGGTAGCCCAAATTTCGCAGGCCGACCATAGATATCAGGTGTGCGCCGGCGTGGGCTCGAACCCGGACCATGTGCATGGTCGGCGAGAGTCCTAACCACTGTGCCACCGACGCACATATTAACGCATATTATCTCTTGCCGATGCCTTTGAAATGTAATCTATCGATACTGTCACAAATCAGTGTGATCTAAAACACACGTTATTAATCAAAATATTTCTTTAATTATTATGGTCATATTGTGGTGAGAGCTGGCTGCAAGCAAGAAATTGTAAACAGCAATTGACGCCAGTGTGATATGTCCCGAGTCGGGGTCATGAGAAAAAAAAGCAGTAACAAAGCTTAACCTTGAGGAACTCACCAACCAATCACAGCAGACGTGACGTGTGCGAGTAGGATTCGTAGATATGTGGCTTAAGTTTATAATAAAACGACAACAAAGAGATGACAGAATGACCTTCACAGCAAGAAAACAACCAATCAGAAGACGCAGCTTCTCCGCTAACAACAACGCTAATAATAATGTACATAAATGCCTCTTGATTTTCTCAATAAACGACTTGTTGCCTAACCCTTGTCCTTTATCGTTAGAGTGTAACTTAGGTTCCTAATAACGAATTTATCGGCAAAAATGCTAATAAACCGAAAAAGGCAAAAAAGGTTTGCAGTAAACTTTGTTTGCTGAATTCATCCCCGCAGTCGAATGAAGTGATAATTTGACACTCTTCATATTTGCATCAGTTTTCCAGATGACATGAAACAGTGCTGTGTATTTATTAGATTAATCAACTTCATCTTGAACGCTTCACTTATTTCGGAAGCCCCAACGAGTTGATCTCTGACGAGATCTCAGTACGGATACAGATGGCTAGTTTCGCATATGCCAGTATACACCGTCTCTGGAGTAGACGTGATATTCGGCTGGCTATCGACCAAAGGGCGGGTGTACTGTTCATCAGTCCGCTCCGTCCTCCTTTATGGCCATCTGTGAGACCTGGCCATTGAGGGTGGAAGACATGAAAAGACTGGCTGGCTAGCTGTATTGGATCATAGGTGCCTGCGCTCTATCTCCCGTGTGAAGTGGCATAATAAGGTGAGCAATATTGAGGTTAGGCGTAGAGTTCTGGATAAAGAAGGGAAATCAATCGATGAGGTTATGAAATTACATCGACTGAGATGGTTAGGACATGTGTTACACATGCATGTCTAGTCATCGCCTTCCTCGACGAGCAATGTTAGCTGATATAGGGTCAGGCTGGAAAAGAGCTATCGGCGGTTAATCGAAAACATGGCACCAGTCAATGAAATCTACAACAGTTAGTTTAAGCCAACGACGTAGGAAGGTGTAGACTTCCTGGTTGGGATCATCGGGACGGTAGAAACCAATGGTTGGAAACAATTGGTGATATGGCTCAAAATCATTCTCAATGGCTGGCTGGCCCAGATGCATCCACTCCTTGTGACTTATGATTTCCAATGAAACTAAATTGTTCTTCGTTATTACTATTCCTTTGTCTCACTCCTCTGCTTACTGTCTCTATTATGTTCTTGTACTTACTTCTCTAGCTTTGTGTGCTACATGAAGGGAGTGTGGTGACTTGAACTTCCGCACATCGGTGCAAAGTTCTATGTCGAAAACAGACAGACAGACTTCATCTGACTAAAGATTGGATTAACCTAGCCGTTGTGTGTATCATGCATTTTATAATGCTTCAGAAAATAACGAATATACATTCAGAAACACACGATATCTCAAAAAATATGATATATATATATATATGTATAGCAATGAAGAAATAAAAGATGTCTTACAAAGTCACTATAAAGTGGTTCTAACCGCGTAGAACCCCGATAAATCCATTCTGTATGATTTTTAGAAAATTTTATGAGAGCCAAACTGGCATCTACTGCCTCCACAGTTGCTTTTATCCAAATACCATCGAGTTCAGTTTCAATAGTCTGACCATGTTTAAGTCTTACCATCGGACGCTGAAAAATGTATATCAAAAAGTTCATTAGTGTCAATTATTTACTATTATTAATAATTAATTATGAAGACGAACATTCTTTACGTGAAACAATTACAATAAAGCAGAAATGCACAGAAAAATTAGAATAATAGGATAATTCAGGTCGCGGAATACAACTTGCTAGAGAAGAGATAATTACAAGTCTCACCACTAGCTGACATCAGTTACGTAACCATTGGGAAACCTGGGAGTACTGAGCAGCCATTTCGTCCTAGTTTGGGACCCGTCAGAAGCACACAACCACCAGGGCTTTCCAGTCACAAGGTGAGCTCGTAGACCATTCAGCCACTGGGACCTGATCCAATGACCCACGAATTTCAACTCCTACCAGTTAGCTCTGACTCTTCAATAGTTCTCTAAGTGATGACAGCTCGTGATCAAATTTATAACTAGTCGAATCCTTGCATAACCAACACCTGAGAAAAGATAAATGCAGCATAGAATTTTCCTAGGGGAGATAGATTTGGGTGTATAAAATATAAAAAATAGCTCAACCAGAAAACACACTAAACATTTTTATGAATGAACTAAAATTGTTATTTTTAAATCAATTTTGATTTTCCCGTCGACTGACTGGACGAAATGTTGGATCTCTGTACAAGAGGTGGTTCTCGTGGCCCAAATGGTCTAGTGGATAGCGCTTTGACATTTGAAACGATGGCTACTGCGTACGAGCCTCACTGGGAACACTATTATTCACAGGAGAATACAGGTACGTCCAGATGACGAATCCCACTAAATAGGACAAAATGCGCATCCTGCATTCCACTGCAAATATTGTGTTTTTCTACTCAAAAGGAACAATTTCAGTCATGACTTACATTCAGTAGGCATACAGAACTTTTGTCATGCCATTACAACAACGTGACAAAAGATGTTTCATGAATTTTCTTTCCCATTAAGTTTTTATTCTAACAAATGTGATAATATTCTAACTACAATTAAAATCCGGTTTCCAGTGAGTCCAGTGCATTCCAATGACTGCCGTTTTACATATGAGTACTTCTGGTCAGTGAGATGTTAACACGCTGCATTATTGCTTCGACAGTACTATATTGCTAATGCAGGTGTGCCCTAGGTCCAGAAAATTACGATTTTCTGAGAATTAGGATTTATATCTTATATCTTAAATAGCAAAGATATATCATTGCAAATCGAACTTGCTGAGCTTTCATCTCAATATACTTTAATGGGTAGAAAGAAGGCAATCAACTACGATTTGAACTTCTTCTTAAGGTAGCTGATCTTGTATCAAAAGCCTAGAGTAAAGTTGTAATACGTTTGGCTGTTCTGAAGATGTTATATCAATTATTTCGCACAGTTGGAATATCTGTTCCCCCGCGCGAAAATACCTTGTGATAGCTTTTATCTTTACATTAACCTAGAAGAACAATCTATATAACATTTGCAAACACATTAAATGTGAAATAAATCAGTAAAACAATTGAACAATGAAAATGTCAGCAGCCTGTGAAAACGAAGAAGTAAAAACATCAAGCATGGAAAAACCAATGGATATCTTGTTTTAAACGACGCTTAAATAAGTGCAAAAACACGCTTCATTTACCTGTGGATATTGAGCTAAATAACGTTTAATAAATTCTTGAGATGATTCTGTAGCTTCTTTCCAATTCTCTTTAGCTAAAAAAGATCACATAAACATTTTTTTAAAAAGGTAATGATTACATCTGTAAAGGTGAAGTGGATGCCAACCGATGGGATTGGTGTGGGGGTAACGCTATATATCATGAGTCAAGTGATCTATTTCTACGCCATTATGTACATACACACATCTGTCTGTCTCTGTCTGGATTCAACATAGAACTTGGCACCGAAGTGCAGCAGTTCGATACATACATACATAATTTAAATTGTTAAATTTCGCTACAAAGCAACCATTGGAAACCAGAGAACACTGGACAGATGTTGCGTCCTATTTTCCAGGACCCTTAGGCAGTGGGCACAGAAGACCCCACCAGGAATCGAACCTAGGATCTTCAGATTACGAGACCAAGCTATATGACGAGATGATATAGTTAGGATTCAGAGGTTATAGTACTCCGGCCCAGATGGTTAAATGGTTTCGTAACCTGAAGGTCTCAAGGTTAGATGCCTGAAGAGGTCATGGGTGCCTAGTACTGAAGAATCACGAAAAATAGTCCAGTGCTCTCAGCTAATTTACAATCATCTCTATAGTAACTGATATTGGTTCGTGATGAAATCTAACAATTGGAATTGAATCAATTGAAATCCCATAACTGGCTGGTTTCTGCGAAGAACTTTGCAGAGATGCGCAACAGTTTGAGTTGCCACTCTCGCTCCATGTAGCACACAGAGCAAGAGAAGAGAGTAAAGAGAGATTCAAAAACAGAAAGATAATCAACAGAAATATGCGGCAAAAAGAATATTAATATGGAAGAACAATATAGTTTTATTGGATATTATGTCACAAGGAGTGGATGCATTTGCGTCAGCCGTTGGGAACGACTTTCAGTCATATCATCAACTTTCTCCAGCCATTGGTGTTTACCGTTTCGGGGATACCAACCAGAAAGCCAGTCTACACCTTCCTACGTGGCTTAAATGAACTGTCGAAGGTTTCATTGACTGATGAAGCGATGCTTTTGGTTTCACCACCACTGGCCCTTTCCCCACCTGATCAATCCAAAGTCAGTTAGCCAACATTGCCCGTTGAGGATGGTGATAGCTAGGCATGCGTACACAACACATGTCCTAACGACCTCGACCGATGTAACTTCACAGCCTCGTCTATTGATTCCTCCTCCTTACCGAGCACTCGACCGAAGCCTAACCTCAATATCGCTCACCCCATTATACCACCACATAACACGGGAGATAGAACGCAGGCACCTATGATCAGAGACAACTAGCTAGCCAGTCTTTTCATGTCTTCCCCTTTTCAATGGCCATGTCTCGCTCACAGCCTAGAAGGAGGACAGAGTGAACAGCTGAGCAGAACACACACGTCCTTTGGTCGATAGCCGACCGGATATCACGTCTACTCCAGAGACAGTGTAAAGCGGCATATGCTAAGTGAGCCTTTTGTATCTGTGTTAGGACTTCGTCAGTAATCAACTCGCTGGCGTTGGCTGATGCTACTTCTCAAAGGAGAGACGTAGTCAATATGCTCTACCACTTCACTACCTATGTTTAAGCTAGGAGTCAATGTAGTCCAGTCCTGTAGCCTCGTCACATTACATTTGGCGGGAGCGAATCACATGCCGACCGAAAGCTGCTACCTTGACGTGGTGGTCGGGCTTGAACACCGCAATGACCTAATCAAGCTATACTGGCTGAGACTTATGTCTCTTGAGGTTCTACCATGCCAGGCAGGTTGTTTGGATAGCGGTTAAACAAAAAGCAGCTACCCCATCCAATACCATGATTCAAACAAATTCACAAAATATCATACCGGATCGGCCGTGGCCCGGATTAACAACGACCGCGCTTCCTGCTGCCGTGTCACAGGGCAGGAGTGATAAGTATGCTACTGAGACACACCGAACAAAAAAGAACAAACAAAAACAGGCCGCGTGTAACCGGCCTCAAGCAGTTGTCCCCTGGGCTCTGCGGTCACGCAACCAACTTCCACGGTGTGGGCAGCCGGGAAGTAACAAACGCCCTCACAATCCGAATCACATGCCAAACATTTGCAGATTGCAGTTTAAGGTGCTTAGAAGACTCTGCATTTTCAAATCCCATAATCTAAATATACATTGACATAATCAACTTACATTGATGGCATATACGAAAGATTTCATTCGGCGGTGAATACTGTGTATAACCATCATCGAAGAATAATAAATATCTAAAATATAATTGAAGTTGGTAAGTATTATTAATTCAATTTCTATGCATTACCTATGACCATTCCTTTCACTTGGAGGCTCAGCAATCAATCCAGAATAATAACCGATCCCACCTGAATCATCTCGATAAATTGCTGAAATGTTAGAAAATCAGAAAATTCCCCAATTAACAATACTGATATACAATGAATGTTAAATTTTACTGCATATTAATACTGGTTAGAAAAATTATTCAAAATCAGAAAACATAAGGACACTTTATACTAAGGACTAGATACATGACACTGTTGACTAGCGACCTATCAGCGCATCCATTATAAAAAGTAAGTCATCAGTCTGTATACCTCAGTGGTAACGTCTGTAACTGCAGCCCTGTGATTCGGGTCAAGTGTCGAGGAACACATCACGCCAAAAACATCGGTTTTCGTCCGATCACCGAAGTTGCGCAGCGTCGGGACCGGCTAGTATTTGCAGGGGTGACCACCTGATAGCAGCACCAGGTGTTGTCAGCTCTTTTTCTCTATCGATATAGCTGCAACTTTGACGTGGTGGTCGGGTTTGTATAGAGCAGCGATCCAAAAAGCCACACTGGTTGGAACTAATGTTTCTGCAGGCTCTGTCTTGCCAGAAAAGTTGTTTGAATAGCAGTTAGATTCAAAGGAGTTACCAACATAGTGTAAAGCGTTTGCACCAGGTTCGGGGATGGGGTTCTGACGGCAAAGTTGTAGATATTGGAGAATAGAGATGTAACAGTTGTAAGGTGTTTCCCTCAGATGATGACCAGCATGGCAGCTATGCTGAGTCTCTGCAATGGAGAGTGGTTAGAAATGTCAACCCTGAAAAATGTACATTCTTTTACTTACGATCCGTAGCCAACGGTAAATTTGTAATGCGGACGAAACTCTAAAGACTAATTCAGACAGGCCAAGTGTGACGGGCTTCAAGCAGTTGTCCCATATGTCATGTGATCACGACACATTATTGCTTTTTCTGTCCCCGGTACAACCAGATAAAATCAACTACTATGGTGTGGGCAGCCATGAAGTAACAACCTCCCACACTCCATTATAGATAAGATTTTATTTTGATAAATCGCACAGTGTTTACAGTTATCAGTTCATATAACTGTAAACACTGTGCGATTTATCAAAATAAAATCTTATCTATAATGGAATTATACTCTACCACAGTGCCCAAGTTTTATACTTATATCAACCTCCAACACACTGCCTAAAAGCATAAAGTTTAAGTTCATGGCTTCCTACCAAATGCTTCCGACTATCTAACAGTATAACTAGTTGTTAAATATATTAGTAATACAAATCTATTATTTTATGTCACCTATAACCAAAAACTCATCAAAACTGCTGAGTTGGAAATTGCATTACAATTAGCTTTTATTTTTTATCCTATATCCGCGGCAAACTATATCACCCAGATCCTTGTTCGCTATTTATTACTATAATCGAAAAAAAATATTTCCTACAATCCAGAAAACAAAAGACTCGCCACTAAGATGAGGACCAAAACATATTTATCCTCAAGTTTTTCACTCATGAGGACTGTAAACGAATTTCAGGTCAATCATAGGCTGATTAGCGTAGGTGGCACAGCGGTTAGGACGCTCGCTGACCATGCACATGGTTCGGGGTTCGATCCCCGGCCGACGCACTCCTTTACAAGCCACTAGCTTGAAACCCTATGTTACACTGGGGAACGTGAAGGAAAAAAAATATAATGTATATAAGCTGATTAGCAATGAGAGCGGTTTTTATACTTTCTTTTTTTTCTTTCCATTCCTATGCACTCTAAAAAGAACAAATAAGCCTTCAAGACTCAGCTTTGAAGTTCCACTAACAGTGGGTATTTTTACGGGTTGGGGTGGCTAGCTCAACCTTCCCTGATTAACAAGCTTAACGCCAGTTGAGCGAAGGTCCAGGTGTGCATTGGTGGCGAATCGAACCCGGACCATGTGAGTGGTCGGTGAATATTCTACCACTACCACTGTCAATGGAGTTGAAGATTGAACGATCAATTCTTGGTTGTTTGTTCAAAATCAACTTCCCCAATTTTCGCGGAGGCATCAATATGACAGTCATCGTCTCATCGGTCGCTGTTCAGAAAGAAGAGTGAAACATCGTCAGAAGTAATACTGGGATTTATTATTGTAATATTTGTTTTCAGACCTTAGTTCGCTTATTCCTGTTATATGTTGGTGTAACAATAAACAAATCTAAAGCGGCAGATCAGTGTTTTGGTTTTTGCGTCCGTTATAACTAAGTGTTTCTGAGAAATCTTCGAAGAACAGCGTGGGCCCGAGCGTAGCGAGAGCTGGGCATTAACGGTTTATGAGACGTGATTGACAACCACTTTCTACAAAATAGAAGAGGAAACACAACCACTCAAACCAAAGACAGCAGGATTACAGATTTTCAACTGCGTCCTTGTTCTACTATCTATGTAATATGGAACCATGCAGTAAATAGTGTTTAAGTTAGAAGTATTGCTAAGCACGAAAGACAAATCAGCTAAAAAGGTGATGAGTCTTTACCAGCTGAAATGGTTGGAACACTTATTACATATTTCGAGTCCACACATTCCTAAAAATGGGTAATACTAGCTTAAACAGAATTAAGTTCAAAAAGTCAGGAGAAGCCAGACTGAAACATGAAACCAATCCACGAGCCCCATGATGGTTCGTCTAGGCTACTGTGAGTAGAGTAAACTGTCTGGCCAGATTTATCCAGATCTAAGAATTACGAATTACAGAGCTGAAGATTTCATGATACAGTTGAAAATAGTTTATAGTGATGCACAAGCAATCACTCTCCAGTATCTTTGGAATTGTGGACGTGCTTACCAATCTTCACTTAGTTATTTTCTGCCTCAACTTGATCGACTTTGAAAACGCTTTCGATGTAGTTGATCGCGAGGTTATTTGGAAAATAGTTCAAAACTATGCAGTGTCCAAATCTTTAACAACCTCATTCAACAGCTACATGACAATGCCACGTGTCAGGTGGTCCACAACGGAAAACTCAGCGAAGTGCAGATGGAAGTAAGACTATCACCGATGATATTCCTATTTGTGGTGGATTGGAATATACGTCAGACTATGGGGAAGTGAGAAGACAGGAGTACGCTGGACCGATAAGAAGACTTTAGAAGATCTGGATTTCTCAGGTGATTTATGTCTAATTCCACATAAACTCAAAGACTTACAGGCGAAAACCAACAAGCCAGCAGAAGGAGCAGAGAGGGCAAGACTTCAAGTGAACATAGAGGAGATATGTGGTGAAAATAACCAGTTGACAGCAACAAGAACCAATCACCAACGGGTCGGAAACTTGGCGGATCACGGAGAGCTTTTCTAACAGGCTACTGCAGACTTTCAACAACAGCTACCTTCGCTAGTTCATAGTGAAGATCAAATGACTGGACAGAAAGGATTAGCAGCAAGGGAATCAGAAAACGAACTAACCAACAATCTATTGCCCAACAAATATTCCGAAGAAAATGAAGACGGATCGGAGTTACCAACGCTGAGGAGGCCATCGAATGACATCGTGAGCCAGGCCATCGTTTGAGTGGAACTCGAATCGGATGAGAGTCTATGGGGCAATCGTCGGGCCACCTGAAGGGCACTGCAAAGAACAGAACTAAATGGAGATGTTCTGTTGAAACCCTATGTTCTACTCATAACCAAAAGGGATAATATTAATAAACAGTTACTGCCTACTTTCCCAAACTCATTCTGCCTAATGACAAACAATCAGACAGAAAAAGTAGAACACGCAGACGCGTAAAAATAAATGATAGCGGAATGATCCTTAAGCATAATCAAAAAGATTTATGAATAAGCTTACCTTGAAAATATTGTGATCTTCTGTTTCCAAGATTTTTATAATATTTAGGCTATTTTAACGTATATGTAGCATTAATCATGGACAGGTATGAAGATGTAGTAAGAGTGTGCAGAAACTACATATAGAATGCATACAGTCACACACTTTGCAGTATACTAATCAACATGAACTAGCAGATCTTTGATTTTATCTATCCTTTAAACAGAGCTAAATATTACAACTGACGGTCAAACACTGATAGCGCATTTAAAGTTTAGGCTTAAGAATCAACCTCTTCATTTGAAATAGGATTTAACTAAGTGCCTAAGACACTTGACGTTTATATCATGAAGTCATGAGTTCAATGTTCGCTAACCTGAAATACGTGTGTAATAAAAATTCATCATCAACGCTTATACACTGGATAAGGCTGACAACGGACTAATAAAGGAAAATGCATTATCTATTTATAGTTCATATTAACATATTAAGGCCTAGTAAGTAAATTTGTGGTCACGTATTCACTTACAATCATCCTGGAGAGAATCAAACAAGCCCTTGATGAAAAACTTCGACCGGAACAAGCTGGATTCAGGAGAAACAAGTTATGTATTGATCAAATCGCTACACTATGGATCATTATTGAACAAAGCTTAGAATGGCAGTCACCTCTCTATCTCAGATTCATCGACTTTGAAAAGGCCTTCGACAGCGTCGATCGAGAGGTGATTTGGCAACTACTTCGCTACTACGGGGTCCCATCGACAATTACACATCTCATCCAACAGTTGTACAACAATGCTGCATCCCAAGTAATCCACAACGGGAAACTTACGGAATCCTTCGAAGTGAAGACGGGAGTGAGACAAGCTGGCAGCCTACTAACTCCAATGATTCAACTGATTGCATTAGACTGGATAATACAACAGACAGCGGGGAACAAGGAAACAGGCATAAAATGGACACCCACAAAAAACGTAGGGGATCTGGATTTCGCCGATAATATGTTTTATTTCCCATGAACTGGAAGATATGCAAGTGAAAAGCAACAAGTTGGCAGAAGAAGCATCCAGAGAACATAGGAATTCAGGTGAACATAGAGAAAACAGAGGTAGGTGATGAAGATTACTGGGCAACACCAACAGCTACAACAACAACAACAGAAAACAATTAGCATAAATGGGAGGATCCTGAAAGAAACAACCTCTTCTACCTACCTACCTAGCTGGGAAGCATCGTTTCAACTACAGGCCGACGGAATTGATGACAATACCAAAGCGAGGATCATCGGGAAAGCAAGACAAGCCTTCACTACTCTAAAGTCTGTGTGAAGAGCAACAGAACTCAGCATGGAAATCAAGATCCGGATTTTCAACTCCAATGTGAAGTCTGTGCTACTATGCGGATCAAAGACTTGGCGCGTCATAAAGAGCATCTCAAAGAAATTACAGACCATCATTAACAGTTGTCTTCGCTCAATACTCAAGATCAGATGGCCGGCCAGAAAAGATCAGCAACAGAGATCTCTGGGAGCGAACCAACCCAGTAGGAACCGAGTGTGAAACAAATATGCAAGAAGAAATGAAGATGGATCGGCTATACTCTGAGGAAACCGTCAGGTGACATTACTAGACAAGCCCTTGAGTGGAACGCGAAAGGGAAGTGGCGAGTTGGTCGTCAGTATGAGGGTGACTTGGAGGAGGTCATGTGAAGAGGGGATGATAGCATGTGGGCAGACCTGGAGCCAGATGAAAACTCTAGGAGAGAAGCGAACGCAATGGAGATGTGAAGCTGAAGCCCTATGCTCCTCTAGGAATTAAAGGAAATAATAATAATATTCACTTACAACATTACTCTACTACTTATTACCATATGAAAGGAAACAAAACTGTGAAAATATCTATCACTGGTTAAAACAATTAATTTTTAAATAGAATTACACCAAAAAAAAATTATAACACTTTTACTTACAGACTACACGAGCACCAACTGGATACTTTTGTCTTAATTCAGCTGCTGAAAACGCTAACGCCAAAGATGAAGGTCCAGATACATAGACTTCTGAACCTGAATTTGAAAGTGAATCTAAACAGATTGTGTACAGAGTAAGTTCATTTTCTTTAGCTCTATCCTTATCTGATTTAGGTTCAGAATTCTCTTTATCCGGAAGATGACAGTATACAACACGACCAGGAAACCATGTATGCTCTGTTTTACGATATAAAATTGGTTGGGATGGCGTTAGTTGTCTATAAACATGGATAACGGGTGAAACAAAATATAAATGATAGACTGAAAGATATATATATATATATATATATATATATATATATATATTACGGACAAATAAAATCTTTGAAAATAGATCATACACACACACACACAACAATCCACGTGTATATGTAAATAGAGCTGGTATTACAATAGAAACTGAAGTGAAACAGTTGTATTTAAATCAGCAATAGCGAAATGACCGGCTGGATATTCGTCAAAACCAGGTAGAGCAGCAAACTCAAAGGTTTAGTTTTGAATGTCTAGGCCACTAATTAACACAGTTACACTGGAACACTTCCCATCGACCATTTATCCATATACATGATGCGCTGAAACTTGCCGAAAATTATTATAACACGTTTCAGTTTATTAGGCAGTAGATAATGAAGATCAGATAACCTGAAAGAATCACCAACAAGAAACTGTGGGAAGAAACAAAACAAGAACCAATCGTCAACCAACAAATATGCAGGAGAAAGTGGAGATGGATTGGACACTCGCTGAGGAGACCGCTGGGTGACATCGCGCGCCAGGCCATCACTCGAGTGGAACCAGGCCGAAAAGGAAGCGGCGGCGAGTGGGACGTCAGTGCAAGGGTGACATGGAGGAGATCGTGTGAAAAGTTGAAACAGTATGAACTAGCATGGATGCAGATGAAAAGTACATCAGCAGTACAGAACAATAATAATAATAGATAATGAAGAAGCAATTTATTATTGATGTTGAACAGTAACTCTGATACATATACAGTTTATCGTTCCCCTTTACATCACGCCTCGCATAAAAGTGTATTGGCATTTCAAAAGACAGTGCATAAAACTATTTTAGAAGTCTTCCAGTAGTTTGTATTAAAGATATTGGGGGCTTAGACAGAAGTATCATTGAGGGAAAAGATGTAATTACTTTTAGTTTATCACTCAACATTTCAGAGAAAATGTGAATAATTACTGATTATGTTGTGAACTAGAAGAATCGGTTGAATGATCAACAACCTTAGTCTTGTAATCTGAAGGTCCTGGGCCCGACCTCTGGTAGAGTGGCGCACAGCTGCCCAGTGGTCCCTGGTTCAGTAGAAGAATGCTCGCCAACCAAGTGCCACGTGGTCCCAAGTTTAACTACCGGCCGACGCACTACTTTACCCTACTTAACCGGTACCAAACTCTGTAAAGATATCGGCTAGAAACCCCACCCTGTAAAAAACACTACTATTTATAAAACCTCAAAACCCGCGTTCTTCTAGGATCACAAGCGAATGAAAGAAGATGTTTTCAATGAATTTTAACACGAAAAACTTAAAAATGAATAGAATAGGGAGCAAGTATATAGATATATATGAACTGAATTCCCACCCCCAAACCACAAAAATTTCAAATACAATTTACTCATGAGCGATAAGTAAAATGACAACTTCCCTACTCTATCTCTACTCTCAGGAAAAAGAAATCTCTCCTTGACACGATCACCTGACCAGTCAATATGAATTCATTTGCTGAGGTTACACAACGAACAAAAGAATTAGTTGGTTTATATACACAATATTTTCAATAAAACACTTACAATCCAAGAAGTAATTCAGTTGGTTGCAATGTTCTCCAAGCAGCTGCACAAAATAGACTTGAAATAGATGGCAGAACACAACTAAACCGACATGACCAAAAATAAAAAAAACAGAAAAAAAAAGATTTTGTAGAGGTTCTTATACTTAAATCTAAGTAAATACAATGAAGCATAAAATATCAAGTATATGCGAAATAAATATATACTACAGACAAATATATTACAGTGATACGTTGATGACTCAATAACAGAATGTTTGCGAGCCACACCAGTTGAATTCCCAGCCAAGGTACGGTTAAACCTCGTCTAGCCAGTAGTAAGCCCTAAAAAGAGGGAAGGTGGCTAACATTAACACAATACCACTACTACTGAAACTTACAAAGTTACACTGGAGGCGAAAGCAATGAAAAAAAAGAAGAAAAAATATATGATTACGTGTCAAACGATTAATCATCCGTTTACTAGTCTTAATTGGTTTTTGTAAACCAATTATAAATGCAGTATGACAAAATGATATTTTATGGTTAAATGTCTACTATGCTGAAGAACTATGACCCACTGAATTGTAGGTTAAAACGGTCTCATGCATCAGAAAGATGAGAATTACGGTTTAGAATAATATTATAAACCCGGTGGTCTGGTTGAGCTGAGTATGGTGCAACTAGATAATGATGCCAAATACCACAGATAAGTTGCACACTTTCGGTACCATTAATAAAGGGTGAAGGCGATGATAAAATGAAGAGTCTTTTGAACACCTTGAGCGAAAATTCTCCAAATGTTTGGCATGAGATTTGCTCCTGTTGGATGTAAGATGGTGCTATAAGATTGGACTACATCGACTCTTAGCTTGAAGATACGGAGTGAAATCGTAGAACACGTTAACCATTTCACTTATTTGAGAAGTTACATAAGCCCTGGTAAACTGATTACTGATGAAGTCTCAACAAGAGGCTTGTATGGCATTTGCCAGCCTACGTCATCTGTAGCGTAGACGCGATTTCCGACTATCGATTACAGAACGTGTATACTGCACACCATTTCGCTCTGTCCATATTTATGGCTGTGACACATGGACATTGAAAATGTGAGACATGGAAAGGCTAGCTGTTTTCGATAACAATGTCTGCACTCTATCTCCCGTGTCTGGTGGTATAATATGGCGAGTAATACTGAGGTTAAGGATAAAGTGTAAGACAAGGAGAATAGGTCAATCGATGAGATTGTTAAGTTATATTGACTGAGATGGCTAGGTACACACATGCTTAGACATCGGCTTCCTCGACGAACAATGGTAGCTGAAAAAATGATCAGGTTGAAAAAGAGCTAGTGGTGGTCAAACCAAAACATGGCATCAAATCCCTGAAATCTTGCACTGATAGTTTGAGCCGCGTAAGGAGGTGTGAGCTTCCTAGTTAGGATTCTCGGGATTCCAAGAGCCAATGGCTGCAGACTGGCTCAAAATCATTCTCAGTGGCTTAGATGAATTCACTCTTTGTGACCTCCAATATCTATTAAACCCTAATGTTCTTCCATGTTATCATTCTTGCTCCGTCACTTTTTTCTCTCTTTCGTCCTTCTTTGTGTGGTACATGGGATGTAGCAACTCAAACTGCTGAACTTCTCTAAATAGTTCTATGTTGAAACCAGTTAGTCAGCTTTAGTAAAAATTTACCTGATGCTACAAAAAGCGTACACCTTCAATCAAACCTAAATCTCTGTCTATTAATATAGTTAGAACAAGTGGTTCTGTCAACCACCTCCTCAAACAATAATCACATATTTCAAAGGTGAAATGGCCTGTTCTGAAGTCTCAAAGATCATTTTCTTTCAACTATCCCACAAAAATATTTACGAGACGTATTTTGTAAGGCGAGAACAAGTAGATTATAAATGTAAATGAAACCACGTATGTGGCCCGAAGATCGACCTGCAACAGCAGATGCGCATCCCTAAAAGCCCTACATTCATAGCCAGTAGCAAGCCCGGTCGAGAGAGGGAACGTTGAGTGTGAGGCTAACAAACCCACTCAGTAGGAAATGATAACATCACTGCTACTAAAAACCTCAAAGCTCAAACCTGAAGTCCTATATTCCACTCAGAATGTATAATAATAAAAAATAACATAAACAGTGCGTTGGTGGCACAGCGGTTAGGACGCTCGCCGACCATGCACGTGGGCCGGGGTTCGATCCCGGGCCGGCGCACTCCTTTACCTCGCTAAGCCAGTAGTGAGACTGGTAAGAGGAAAGGTTGGGCATGAGGCTGGCCACCCCATCCTGTAAAAATCAACACTGCTACAGAAGTTTCAAGCCTCTATCTTGGAGCCCTATGTTCCACTGGGAACGTGAAGGAAAAAATATATAAAATACATAAATAAATATATAAATAAAACATACGTATTTGGATTTTCAATAACAATGATTTCCTCTTCTTCTTTGGCTAAATCAATGATACGGTTATCGAATAAATACAGAACACGTCCAAATATACTAAGTGAATTGACAAAAAAATAAATTTAAGTGAAAGGATATACTTTATTTGAAGTTCTGTCATTTCGTTAACTACAGAGTCAAGTTTCTCACTTAGCTCGGATATGTTATTTTGTAAAATCAATTTCTCCTTATTCAATTCATCCAATCGTGTAGTCATACAAAGTTCTGGAAAAGTGTTCATAATTTCATCCAGTAAACCAGACTCTTCAAAAGCCAAAGGGAATCTTTGCTGAATTATATGAAATCTAAGTTTAGGATTATTTACTAAAAAAAAATTATAATCGTTTATAGACACATAATTGGTATATTCTCTTACCATCATTCAATTCAGCTTCATATTTACATTCTACAAATGCGAAAATAATTTCAAAAATATCATCGAGATTTAGTGCACTGCAGATAGACTCGGTTATTTCCTCTGCAAGGACTTCCTTCTCAGATTGTAATTGACCCATCATCGTGTTACCTAAATAAAACATAATAAATTAAGTCAGTATGCGCAAGAGTTATATAATGAAAAAATAACATGCATCGGTACACACTTAAAGACAGGCTGTCGAGGCTATTTCTTCACCTATTAAAAGTAGCTTATATGCAACATTAACTCTGGGTAATTTTTTTCTCAACATACTCCCCAGGTTATTATTGGCAGTAGTTTAAAACACAAAACAGCTAGCACAATACGTTGACGGACTGACACACAATAAAAAATATTTGCTGAGAAGTGCAGCACTTCAAGTTGCTGTACTTGAGGAAAGTATGCATAGAGAGATTCTCATAGTAATGTAAAGGAACAGAATGATACTATGATAACGACAGGTGAATACATCTGAGGCATTGTGGACGATTCCGCATTAAATATCATACATAAAGAGTCTCTCAACCACTGATTCTTAGCATCTCAGATAATCTGCGTCACCCGTTAGTTAGTTAGTGATTTCAATAACTGGTGCCATATTTTGTTAATCTGAGTACCTGTAATTCTTTCAAAAAAACTTATCTTTCTTCAGATAACACTGCTTAACAACAAGGAAGATAGTTGCTCGGTATGTCCAAGTCATCTCAGTCGACAGAAGTGCATCCCATCCATTGAGTGACAGTTTTTATCTAACACTACGCCTAACCTCACTATTACTTACTGTGTTGCTCCATTTAACATTCAAAATTGAGAGAAAACACCTTTAAACACTTCTGAACTCAAACCATTCAATTTTGTTGCTTTATCTTGTTTCAAAATGAGAAATTCTGTGAAACACGGTCACGGTTGGAGTGTCAATATTATATTAACGCTGAGATTTTACACAAGAAAACTGCTTATCATCCGTAGATTAGTTAGACCGTAGCTCAAACTTTTCTGTTCAAAGTTGGGGCTACCTCTCCCGAAAACACGCTGGATTTACATTACTGCTAAAGATGATTTCACATAACAGCTATTTTAGGTCCGTTTTATCAACGGGTCTAAACTGTCGTCGAGTATGACTTGACAGGTCTTCTATTTCTTCTGTTTTGGTCAGTCACAGTTGTTACGAAGACTTTTAGTCCTCTCACGTTTGAATAACTTTTACTCCTCGATATGTTCAGAGCACATTTGAATTGATTTTTTAGCTTAGACCACTTAGTAGAAAAGTGAAAAATTCACTGGTATTTTCCAATTTGATGCTGTAAGTTATTAACATTTCTCACTTTTTATGCAACAGATTAGATATGATCTCTGGCTTCTTTAAGATGAGTAGTGCTGTAATATTCAGTGCTAAGCTCACTCCACAGTAATTCCATAACAATTCTTTCCTCAGCTTTTATTTGAGCTTCTCCGAAGTGTCTGTCTGTCTGTTTCCGACATAGAACTTTGCACAAATGTGCGGAAGTTCAAGTCGCCACACTCCGTGTAGCACGCGAAGCAAGAGAAGAAAGTACAAGAAGTGTACCAACTTGAACTGCTTCACTCTGTACAAATTCAATTTGGAGTTGAGTCAAACAGTCCTGAATAGATCTTCTTAGGCTTCTAAATGCTGGATACAATGGCTTAACAATGAATATGCATGCCTTCAGACTTTTGCTAAAACGTTAGCAACTTACACTAATGACAGTAACTTTTTTAGCGTCATCGCTATGACTGTCAACTGGATGGAAATGAAAGCGTTTGTTAAGTAACATTTTCTTACTTTCTGCACTATCCACAGCCAACCTACATGGTATGATAAGACCTGTACGAACATTAGCTTTAGTTAGCATAGCTCATTCAGTCATGCGGTCAGTCAAGCACACTCACGATGTCAAAGTGACAGATTTCAGTTTGGCTTCAAATTGTTAAATTTAAAAAGGTAAATTGTAAAAGTCATATCTTCACTCTTCGACAGATTCTAGAACATAGACACACTTTTCGGCGTCCAACAATTGTCATATTTCTTGACTTGAAGGCGGCCTTCGACTCCGTGGACCGAAAAGTACTATGGCAATGTCTGACTGTGAAGGGAGTGCCAAGAAAGTACATTGCACTAATTAAGGCACTCTATTCAAACTCACGTAGTCGTGTAAGGGCTTATGGGGAATTGTCATCTGAATTAGTAACAACCAGTGGTGTCCGACAGGGATGTCCACTTTCCCCATTTCTGTTTAACTTCATCATAGATATGCTAATGGAAGTATCCTTAACTGAACGTAGTGACTTAGGATTCGACTTGTTACCAGGGAATAATCTAACGGACTTAGAATATGCAGATGACATAGTCCTGTTAGGGGAGGATGCTGACAAAATGCAGAGTCTTCTGAACACCTTGAGCAGCAATCTTCGTATGTTTGGCATGCGATTCGCCCCTGCAAAATGTAAGATGCTGCTACAGGACTGGACGACGTCAACCCCTAACTTAGTGATAGGGAGTGAAGTGATAGAACATGTTGACCACTTCACCTACTTGGGAAGTTGTATCAGCACCAACGGACTGATTGGCGATGAAATCTCAGCACGGATCCGAAAAGCTCGAGCTGCTTTCGCTGACTTACACCATCTCTGGCGTAGGCGTGACATCCGGTTATCAACCAAGGGACGTGTGTACTGCTCATCAGTTCGCTCCGTCCTTCTCTATGGCTCTGAAACATGGCCAATACGCGTTGAAGACATGAAAAGGTTGACTGCTTTCGATCATAGATGTCTGCGATCTCTGTCTCACGTTAGGTGGTTTAATAAGGTAAGTAATGTTGACGTTAGGCGTAGAGTGTTGGGCAAAGAGGGAAAATCAATCGACGAGGTTATAAAGTTACATAGACTAAGATGGCTAGGTCACGTGGTGCGCATGCCTAACCACCGCCTCCCCCGACGGGCATTGTTAGCTGATATAGGTTCAGGTTGGAAAAGAGCCAGTGGTGGCCAAACAAAAACATGGCATCAATCCATGAAATCCTTGACAGTTAAACTGAGTCAGGTAGGGAGATGCAGACTCCCGGGTTGGGGCCCTCGCGACTCTAGGAATCAATGGCTGGAGACAGTAGGTGACATGGCTCAAAATCGTTGTCAATGGCGCAGATGTATTCAATCTCTGTAATCTTTCATATTCCTTTCTACCATTACCCATTCTGTTTCACTCTTATATTTGTCAAACTCTATTAATTCTCTTCACTCATCTTCTTGTCTACCTCTGTGTGGTATTTGGAACGTGGCAACTCGAACTGCTGCACTTCGGTGCCAAGTTCTATGTTGAATCCAGACAGACAGACAGACAAAAGTCCTGTTAAGCGGAACGACATCAAGAATGGAAAAAAACATACGACAAAGTTGTAAATAATTAAGTGCAGACTTTGAGGAAGCTCAGATGACAAAGTAAGATAAGCTGTAAAAGCAATTCATCAGTGCTGATTTTCTGGAACAGTTACACAATGCTAATAGAACTATCGTTAACCGCGATCCAAAAACATAATATATCTCATTTTACAATAACTGCTAAATAGTATTTAAGACAAAAATTGAATTCTATATCTGAATAAACAGAAGTAATAACATGTTTACGCACCCTACTCTAAAAGCCAAAACAAGAGTTCAGTAGCTTTCTAATGAAGTTGGTGATTAATATCCTACAGAGACAGGTAATGAAAGGCAAGAACAGATTTGTAAAACTCAGGAAACGCTTAACAATTTCCAAGTGAATGCAGTTCAGATCCACTAGACTTTGTTTGCATTTTCTTTAGTATATACGTATCAGACTACAGCGCCATAGTTTATCTCTGTGAGAGCCCTTTTTCTAGTCTTGTTATACACTTAGTTGCTTATATCCCAAGCCACAGGGACCCGATCCGTGCTTTATATGTCCTGTGAGGGCTGGAACAACTATGATAAGCAAACCCAGTAGAATCTGATCTACTCCTGAAAATGCCTAGAAAATGAATACGGTGCTGAGTTAGTACCAGTCGTGCTGAAAACCAGCAATGATTTCTAGTCTGTGCCATTAAAAGATCCATTTCAGAACAGATTCAGAATTTACTCACTATAGTATGCTAGAATTATTTCAGAATTAGGGAGATTTAATTCAGCATTATGGTATGTGTGATATCACCCCAAGCTTACTATGATGCTGAATTGTTTTTCCTTCACGTTCTCAGTAGAACATAGGGCTTTAAGCTAATGGCTGGAAGTTTCTATAGCAGTGTCTATTTTTACAGGACGGGGTTACTAGCCTCATGCCCAACTTTTCCTCTTTACCAGCATCGGTAGCACAGTGGTTAGGACTCTCGCCGACCATGCACATGGTCCGAGGTTGGATCCCCTGCCGACGCACATCTGATATCTATGGTCGGCCTGCGAAATTTGAGCTACCAATATGCATGCTGAAAATTCCATAATTGTACCAAAAATACAGTGTGGAATCAAGCTGATCAAAAAATAAAAATTATTTCTGGCTTAGCGAGGTAAAGGAGTGCGTCTGTCGGAGATCCAACCCCGGACCATGTACATGGTTGGCGAGCATCCTAACCGTTGTGCCACCGACGCTGAACTAAATCTCACTAATTCTGAAATAATTCCAGCATACTATAGCGAGTAAATTCTGAATCTGTTCTGAAGTGGATCTTTTAATGGCACAGACTAGATATTCCACACTGTATTTTTGGTACAAGTATGGAATTTTCAGCATGGATATCGGTAGCCCAAATTTTGCAGGCCGACCATAGGTATCAGGTGTGCGTCGGCTGGTTTTCAGCACGACTGGTACTAACTCAGCACCGTATTCATTTTCTAGGCATTTTCAGGAGTAGATCAGATTCTACTGGGTTTGCTTATCATAGTTGTTCCAGCCCTCACAAGGCTTATCAGGCACGGAATAGTGTTACATCAGGGCGAAAAGACTTAATTCAACACCCAGCCCTCTTTTTAGGCACGACCAGCGTTGTTCCAGAACATAGTGGGTAGATGAAATCTTCATTTACCATAAAAAGCATTACCGAAGAATAAGTTTAGAATTGTTGTGAGCTTGGGGCACATGTGTTGCTTATGATTCTAACACGAAAACTGAATAACCAGTGAAAAATCTTGTTATAACATGCATCAAAACAATGCAAGGCAATTAAATTACCTACCTGGCCTTTTGCCCCAATTTTCATACACCTGTCACTGATCACACTATAAGTCCCATTTTAGTAACACACCCGTTGAAAATCGCTCCTTATATTACAGTTTCAATCCTGCTTATTACGAGTTGATATGCTAGATTTTTTATTGCAAGTAGAAAACTTTGAGGCAACTTTTAAGATCGTATTCGTTGGATAACTCGTGCCTTAATGCGACATAGTTGGCTCCTAGCTTCCGAACTTCCGTACTAATAATAATAATAATAATAACAGCTTTATTCCAAACAGTATTTGTGGTACAGGTATGGAATTTTCAGCGTGCATTACAGTATATTGCATCTAATTACCTCATAAATTATATAAGATTTTTAAAAATCAAAGATAAATAAATAAAAATAAAATAAATTAGTTATAAATAAATAAAATAAATAAATATTAAAAATTAAGAAGAAAAAAAACAACGTAGAGTATTTCATTTCAAACAATGCAACACAGGATTTGTAATATAAAGTTGATGTGTGGTAGAAGATGAGAACAACAGTGTAATAGTAACGAGGAAAGGAAAACAAAAACTAATGAGACTATTTGTTAGAGTTCTGCAGTAAGTTTATCGTGTCATACCTAACGGATTTCTCATCACATAACAGCTGTGCCAGATATGGTATTGTGGAGTTTTTGTATTTGGTAGTCCTAGCATATAGCCTCCTGTAGCTGCTTCTAGTTCTTCCAGATGAAATGCAAGGAGATAGATGCGTATAGAGAGGATGCTCGGGGTCCGACAATATTGTATTCGCTAGTTTCTTACATGACATAATATGTCTATCTACAATAGTGTTCACCAGTTGGTTTAACGATATCCCACTTGCCCTACTAACAGCTTTTAGTGCCCTTCTCAGCGAAGCAAAGTCTTTCTTAAGTAGTCCAGGAAAGACTAGTGGGGAGCAGTAAAGGAGGATGGGTAGAATACAAGAATTTACAAACTGAGAAAGTAAAGACTGGTTTATGCCAGACTGCCTAAATTTCCTAATGTAGAACGTTAAGCGAAACATCTTTCTAGTAACTAGCAAGATGTGGGAAGACCAGGAAAGATCGGTGGAAAAACTCAGCCCAAGGTACTTGACATAAGATGTATTTTCAACGTTCACTGAGATGTGTGGAGCCCTCAAAAATAAACTTATCCGATTTTTACTACTATGTAAGAAATCAGCATACTGTACATTACTTTGTTTTAACCATAAACTTTGTACTTTGAACTTTACCTCGGGTTTTGAATGAAAATATATAGTTCTGCCTCCGACTCTTCCCCGACTGCCATCGATCAATTCTAACCACCTGCTTCCTATCTCAAATTTTCGCAGGAACACCGTAGTTTCTTCCTACGTACTTTGGTTGACCTCCGGCAACGTCAACATTGGAGAATTAGTATTGGAGCAGTCTCCCGCAGTATCTCTGGAGTCTATTACGCTTATTGTGAATTTTGGATCTTTGTAAACCCAAGTGACGAAACTTTAATATATTCTTCCCGTAACTAAACTGATTTGGTATTTTTATTTTCTATTTGAATTTGGGATACTAAGCTAACAGAGTAAAAGGTCCACCACAACAATTGGTGAGCCCGTTTTCGAACCTTTTTTTCGTTGGTTAACTCGTTATGAACATTTTTTTGCTATTTTGGTCTTATTAACTCACATTGCTTTAATTTTTGTTACCGCACGTTTTGCTATTTTGTATATCTCTATACTTAAATATTTTTCGATAATGGCTCCATCTAAATTTACCACTATTCCTGAAGAACTTCACTAAGGCTAAATGACACAGAACTCTTCTGTTTCCGCCTTTCCGGATTCCACATCTATGAAGGACGCACCACTGTTTTGCTTACTTTCCCAGTTAACATCTCAAATGCAAGACTTACGACTGGAAGTGTCTGAGCTTCGAGAACAAAGGAACCAGTCACATACGGTATCCAAGCAACGGCGATCAAGATCTAGACGACGTTCTAGAACACCGTTTCAAAGCCGTAACATTTGTTGGTATCATAGGAGGTATGGGCATAATGCCCTGAAGTGTCTTCGACCGTGCATGTACAACAGTGGTAACTCAACTCAGGGAAACTCCCCAGCCAGACAGTAATGGCGACGGCTGTTACTGGCAATCACCCCAGTCGCCTTTTCTATGTGAGGGATTTGACTACCGGCACATTATTCCTGGTAGATACAGGCGCCGAGGTCAGTGTTATCCCCCCCTCACTATCCAGGCGATCAGCCAAAATACCGGGAAACTTTCACTCCGTGCTGCCAACCAAACCAACATACAGACGTATGGCGAACAGTCAATGATTTTAAACCTAGGACTACGCCGACGTTTCACATGGATCTTCATAGTAGCTGACGTACGTCACGCTATACTAGGTGCAGACTTCCTAAGTCATTTCAATCTGTTAGTTGATATCAGCAAGAAAAAACTGATTGACAATTGCACCCAACTCAAGATCCACGGTATTACATGTGATTACTCTGTTCATAGTATTTGCACAAAAAAGCCGGAGAGTGAAATTTTTTCTACTTTATTACGACGTTTTCCTAAAATCCTTAAACCGTCATACAACGTCGAGGATATATCTCATACAGTTACTCATAAGATCACAACAGGACAACCTGTGAAGGCACGTCCACGACGGTTACCACCTGATAAACTAGCAGCAGCTAAGTCAGAATTCGAACATATGATGCAGCTAGGCATCATACGACCATCTAACAGTCCATGGTCCTCACCTTTGCAGATGGTACCCAAAACTAATCACGACTGGCGACCATGTGGAGATTATCGCGCTTTGAATAATGCTACGGTCCCATACCGTTATCCTATACCCCATCTCCACGACTTCTCCTTGACCTTACATGGAAAGACCATTTTTACTAAAGTTGACTTGGTCAGGGCATATCATCAAATACCAGTCGCTCCGGAAGACATTGCAAAAACAGCAATTATCACGCCTTTTGGATTATTCGAATTCTTGAGAATGCCTTTCGGACTAAAGAATGCCGCTCAAACATTTCAGCGTTTTATGGACCAAGTTACCCAAGGTTTTGATTTCGTCTTTGTATATATCGACGATGTCTTAATTGCCAGCTCATCGATGGAAGAACATATGGAACACTTAAGCTTGTTATTTCAAAGGTTTGAACAATTTGGGGTTGTTATCAATCCAAAGAAATGTATTTTTGGTTCCCCTTCCATTGAGTTTTTAGGACATCGAATAACTGCCGAAGGCATCAGCCCGGGGTGTTCAGCTTCTATCGACGTTGTATTCTATCATGTGCCTCCATAGTTCAGCCACTGACCGACCTACTTATATGCAATTCGAAGAAATTTCAGTGGTCTGAAGACGCAAAAGCAGCATTTAATAATGCAAAAGATGCCTTATCCAACGTTGTAATGTTATCTCACATCAACCCAGAAGCTTCACTCATTCTATGTACAGATGCATCGCAGGTAGCAGTGGGAGCAGTTTTACAACAAAAGTTGAATAATGACACCACTCCACTTGCTTTCTTCTCCAAGAAATTGGAACCTGCGCAAACTCGTTACAGCACTTTTGGCAGAGAACTGTTAGCCATCTACCTAGCAGTGAAACATTTCAGCTTCTTACTACAAGGTTGACATTTAACTATCTTAACTGACCATAAGCCTCTTTGTTATGCTTTCACCACTTCGTTGGATAGACACTCTCCGAGAGAAGCCAGACAACTGGATTACATCTCACAATTCTCAACAGACATCCAGTTCATCAAAGGAGATTCCAATATCGTAGCCGATTCTTTGTCTCGATGTGACGTTAATCACCTATCTTCGATAGATATTAGCTTAGACAATATAGCCAAGCTGCAGAAAAATGACGCCGAACTTCATACTTGTAAACGAAAATCCTCCCCACAGTTGCAGGATGTAACTATTCCCCTGTCTGATACAACTATCGTCTGCGACGTTTCAACTGGCGTTCATAGAACTTTTGTTCCACTAAGTTGTCGAAAACCTTTGTTCGAACATCTACATTCATTGTCTCATCCTGGAGTACGTGCTACGGTCAAGTTAATCAGCCAGCGTTTTGTTTGGCCCAAGATGAACTATGATATTCGGAAATGGGCCCGCCAAAGCTTGCAATGCCAAAGATTAAAGGTACATCATCATACCGTCACACCTCCAAAGCGGTTCAATTTACCGGATAGACGATTCCAACACGTGCATATAGATATTATTGGACATTACCGCCATTCTGAGGGTTTACTATAATAATAATGAATATTCCCATTTAAACATATAAATTTACATGAAAATGCATGCCATTTTTACAGGCACGATCAAGTATGATATAATATCAAATCGTACATTGTCTACAAATTAATAATGTTTCAACAGTTAAATATTTGATATATATATAATTACACATTGTCTGAACTAGGCTGTATAGTTATTGAATTGTACAATTGTCCTCCAGGTTGAGCGGGAAAATCTACTTCGTTTCGTTTTCATCCCGTGGTTGTCGGCATACGATAACCAACCATTATTGAGGTAAGTACAACGTTTACAAGGGATTGAAAGCTGTTTTCAGAAAAGTAAAAGTGCTAAGGTGAATCAATAAAGTGTAATGAAATGGGTAAGTGCAAATATCACTAATAAATGCATTAATAAAGGAAACTCCCTAGGCTGACAAAGTTCATTTGCAATGTATAACGCTTCCTGTACAGTTTGCACTATCATTATGTCCAATTTTGGTTTTAATACACTTTTTCCTTATGTCGGTTATTTTTTATTTTATGCCTTTTTGTGCATTTGGAGCACAACTGTACCCTGCAGAGAATAGGAATGGAATAAGTCGAATCAAATTCATAAAAAGCTATAAAATGTTAGGTTTAATGGGATATAATGAAGATCAAGTAAAGACGTTGTCAATACAGTTGAAGATTGAACGATCAATTCATTGTTGTTTGCTGTAAACCAACTTCCCCAATTTTCGCGGAGGCATCAATACGACAGTCATCGTCTCATCGGTAGCTGTTCAGAAAGAAGTCAGGCCAAAACTGTCAGAAGTAATATTGTGATTTATTATTGTAATATTTGTTCACAGACCTTAGTGGAATTATTTTTTATATGTTGGTGTAACAATAAAGAATTCTCGAGCGGCCAATCGGTGTTTT